GCTGTACCTGCTTTGTTACCTTGCCTGCTGTTGCTGTGTTCTCTGTTCGTGGTGTACCCATTCAGGATGTGTCGCTGCACAGACTCCTGCTGCAGGCAGTTATGGGGGAGTGTTAGAATATATCTGTAACTGCCTGTAGCTGTAGTTAGTGTAGTTATTATAAACTTGTTGGTGGTGCACCTTCTTTGAATCCTTTGTTTGCTATATGTACCCTAAGTGCTATAGTGAACTCCATTCTCCTCTCATTCTCTCGACTCTCGCCCCTTGGCACAAACCATCTCGACCCCCCTTGTGGCCTAGGCTACTAAGCCTAGGCCCACTTAAACCTAACTCCTCTTGCCACTATTCCGACACGTCTCAGTCCGCCAAGTGGCCAGAATCACAGGCATGCTCGCGTCAATGGGCGTCGCGCTGGGCACAACAGCTCGTGCTTTCAGCCACGCCATGCTACAAGCGATCAATGACGCACCTTCATGGAAAAGCAGCGTGATCATCCCCCCACCCGCGGCCGAGGAGCTAAACTTCTGGCTCGAGGAGTTTGATAGGTTCAACGGTGCACCGTTTCACGCTCGAAACAGCTACGATGCTCTAATCCATGTGGATGCTAGCGCTCACAGTTGGGGCGCCAGTTTGACCACATTCCCTGGCGGCCTCGAAGAAGCTAGCGCAACAATGCCAGAGCCGCTGCGAGCGACGTCCAGCACACGGAGGGAGATCGAAGGAGTTCTTTGGGCACTCCAAACATACTCCAGCAAGATCACGCACAAACATGTTCTTGTGCGGGTGGACAATCAGGGCGTCTTCTTCATCCTTCGCAAAGGTGGCTCGCGCAGCCCCGACCTTACCACGGCCTGCCAAGGCATCATTCGGACATGCATGGAGCACGGCACGCGTCTAATCATCGAATGGATCCCACGCGAGCTAAACTCACACGCCGATGAGCTCTCAAAAGCAGTCGATCATGACGACTACTCGTTGAAGACGCCGTGGTTCCGCATCTTAGAACGACGTTGGGGTCCCCATTCCATCGACCTCTTTGCAAACTACCGCAACTCTCAGCTGCCACGCTTCTGCACGAAAATTCCTCATCTACAAGCCACCGCAGTAGATGCATTCTCGCTCGCATGGACATCAGAAAATAGCTTTGCTTCCCCCCCGCCCCATTTAGTACGGGCCGTCCTCCATCACGCACAGCGCACCCATGCGTCGCTCACACTGATCATCCCACACTGGCCGGGTGCAAACTGGTGGCCACTCCTACAACCTTCCCCACGCAACTGGGCACCGTACATCCACGCGCACATTCCTTTGACACACGGCAGCCAATGTCTGGCAGCTGGAACACATTCCGCTGCTTTTTCAGGCACTGGATTACCACACAGCCCAATAATCGCACTTCGGGTGGTTTTTGACTAATTGAGAGTGTACGCGCCTTGTGTCCAGATCTGCTCCCAAAGCTACACAACCAACTCATCAACATGCTCACACAATCGCGAGCAAATTCAACGGTCCGTACATACGAACCGTACTGGGCCAAGTTTCGGGCTTTCTGCACAAAGGTGGATCTCCCATTTCTTCCCGCATCCGACATGGCCCTCGCGCTATACTTGGTACATGCAATTTAACGAAGAGCAACCTTGTCTGTAGTGCAGCTCACGTGCTCGGCAGTCAGCTTCGCCCATCGCATGACTGGAAGCAAATGCCCGACTGTCGGACCGTTTACCACTCAAGTGCGGGACTACACGAAACGACACTGCCCTCGCCCTAGTCGAATGAAGGAGCCCGTATCAATCCAACAAGTTCGGGACATGTCCGCGAACTACTTGCAGTCGGACAATCCTGCTGAATTTCAGAAGGGATTGATCCCTATCCTCATGTACTCCGGATTTTTGCGATACTCCGACCTGGTGGCCAATCCAGTGGCAAGACATCCAATTCGACGACGGAGTCATGTGGATCCTCATCCCACACTAAAAAACGGACCAGGCCGGTCGTGGAACTTGGATTCCCATCGCAGCAACGACGGACCCCTGTTGCCCCGTGCGCTGCACCCAACACTTCCTTCAACTCGCAGGCTATGGCCCGCATTCAGAGGGGTCGCTGATTCGCGTTTTTGGTCACGCTTCAGCCAACAAGGGTCAGGCCAAGCCACCCTCGTACACAACGATCCGGAACTGGTGTAAAGAAGCATTCGCAAAGGTTGGACTTGGGGAGCAGCAGCTCGGCACGCACTCCTTCCGAAAGGGCGCGGCAACCGTAGCAGCCAACATCGGCGTGCCGGACAGGATCTTCAAAAGGATGGGTAAGTGGCGAAGTGACACATCCAAAGAGATGTACGTCACACCACACGTCGGACATCTTATCAAGGCATCCCGCGACCTACAGGACCCGACACACGCACTGCCCCCAGAACAGCACGCAGAGGCACTCCTACGCAACCGGAAGCCACCGCTGCCCATGTCTCAGAGGCCCCAGTTGCAATGAGAACGATGCCAAATTATAAGGACCAGAAAGCAAGCTTTCTCAATATTATAATTTTTAAACACATTGATGTTTTTCAAAATTGTGTATTGTGAAAGCGAAGCTGCCTGTACCGAATATTTGGCAGCGTCGAAGCGCGCTAAACGCCCTTCTCCAACTACAAAAACCGTGGGTTGGAGTTCATTCCCTCCACCCACGTTTCTCGTTTTCCAACGGCTCAATCAACATCCCCACCACCCACCCCGGACCAACTACAAGACCACAGCTGCTTGGACGGACGACTCCGTAGCTAGTAATATTTGCATCTACTAGCATCTGTTTAAGAACGATGCACATGTTGTAATAAGCCAGTTGCAATGAGAACGATGCCAAATTATAAGGACCAGAAAGCAAGCTTTCTCAATGTATCACTACATGGGCTTTACATATTAAGCTCAGACAAAGCCTCCTATACTCGCTTTAATTCATACAAAGACTTCCGCTACAACAGGAAGCTACCATCCTAAGTATAAGATCCTACTCAATCACTTCAAATTCTATCACCATAGATGTCTGTCGAAATAGTAGTAACAGTGAAGGCTAGCTTCAAGTGAGGGCCTAGGCTTAGTAGCCTAGGCCAAGGGAGTCGAGGTGGTTTGTGCCAAGCAGAGGAGAATGATGTTCACTATAGCACTAGGGTACATATAGCAAACAAAGGATGCAAAGAAGGTGCACCACCAACAAGTTTATAATAACTACACTAACTACAGCTACAGGCAGTTACTGATATATTCTAACACCCCCCCATAACTGCCTGCAGCAGGAGTCTGTGCAGCGACACATCCTGGATGGGTACACCACGAACAGAGAAAACAGCAACAGCAGGCAAGGTAACAAAGCAGGTACAGCAGCAAAGGGGCAGGCACTCCTGCCACCCCTTTACTCTCCTCCCCCCCCCCCCCCCCACCTCAGAGGGACGGGGGTTGATTGGTCTCACACCCGCCACCCCAATGCCACTCCCCTGGCTCCCCCACACCCTCACACCCTCCCCCCAGCGGCAGCTGCAGCAGTGGGAACGAAAGGAGGAGGAGGAGGGGAAGGGAAACACACCACCCATCACCCCCATACCCGCCACCCCCATACCCTCCGTTCCACGGCTGCACGCGCAGCAGGGAGACGAAGAAGGGGGGGGGGGGGGGGGGGGGGGGGGGGGGGAGGGGAGGGAGAGAGCAGCAACGGGCAGCAACGGGCGGCAACCGGCAGCACAGGGAGGCGGCTGCACCGGGTCCAGGGGCGGCGTCGCGGGGTCCAGGGGCGGCGTCGCGGGGTCCAGGGGCGGTTGCTCCAGGGGCTAGGGGCGGCTGCTGAGGTCCAGGGGCGGCTGCACCAAGGGCGGCTGCTCCAGGGGCCAGGGGCGGCTGCTGAGGTCCAGGGGCGGCTGCTCCAGGGGTGGCTGCACCAGGGGCCAGGGGCGGCTGCTGAGGTCCAGGGGCGGCTGCACCAGGGGCGGCTGCTCCAGGGGCCAGGGGCGGCTGCTGAGGTCCAGGGGCAGCTGCTCCAGGGGCGGCTGCACCAGGGGCGGCTGCTCCGACGCGCAGCCCCCCCCAGGTCGCCCCTCCCGTCGCCTGTCGAGGCGACCTGGGGGGGGGCGTGCGCGACAGGCGACGAAATCGCCGCACGCCTCGGGGCGCACGACGGGCAGGGCACCGTCGCGCGCCACGGGGTGCACGACGGGCAGGCAGGCAGAGAACCGTCGCGGGCGCCAGGGGCGGATCCGCGGCGGCTCAGGGCACCGTCGCGGGCGCCAGGGGCGAGTCCGCGGCGGCTCAGGGCGCCGTCGCGGGTGCTAGGGGCGGGTCCGCGACGGGCAGAAAAAACGTCACGCGCCACCCGGGCGCGGGTTAGAACGAAAATCGCCACGCGCCCGAGGCGCGCGACCGGAAAAAAAAAAAAACAGCGGCGGAAGCGTGAGGCTGGCCCACAGGCCAGGACTTAACAGGCTCTGATACCATGTCGAAATAGTAGTAACAGTGAAGGCTAGGTTCAAGTGAGGGCCTATGCTTAGTAGCCTAGGCCAAGGGAGTCGAGGTGGTTTGTGCCAAGCAGAGGAGAATGATGTTCACTATAGCACTAGGGTACATATAGCAAACAAAGGATGCAAAGAAGGTGCACCACCAACAAGTTTATAATAACTACACTAACTACAACTACAGGCAGTTACAGTATATTCTAACAATGTCAGCTATATGGGATTCAAGTTTTCGTGCCTGGCTCAAGTTTTATGGAGTCTCTGCCCTTGGCTTAAGAAGGGCCAGGGGTTGGAGGGTTGGGGACGCAAGTAGCAGGTAAGCTTGTCTGAATCTTCCTAACGGAATCCAGCTTTCAGATATTTATTAGTTATGAGAGTCAAGAAAGCAATAGCACACTAACAAAAACTATCAAACAAACCATCTATTGTAAGTATTATTATAAGTAATAGCACACTTCTGTTACATATTGCACTCAACTCCCTCGAGTGCGCTCAAAACTGGAGCCCCTTCTTAGCACTCTCGTTGCCGCTTGTTCAAGAAATCCACGGCGCCATCACCCCCACTCGCATTCCCCTCGCCCTCCCTCCCCCTCTTCCCGCTCAACCCCTGCGCGGACGCGGGGAAAATCGTTTCCGATGGGCGGGAAAGATCCATGGGCGGGTGTGGCGGAAGCTGCGAGGGGTGGGGGAGAGGGGCATGGCCGAACCCCGCAGAGGACCAGGGCGCAAGCGCGCCAGGCGGAAACGCAGGCACGTTGAAGGGGGAAGCGAAGGGGGGAGCACCAGGCAGGTGCTGCGCGGACATTGGGTGATGAGGGGCAAATCCGGGGGGATATGCGCCCATGTACGGGGACCAGACGGAAGGTACGGGCGAGGAGATGGGGAACGAAGCGTGCGCGGAAGGGCTTGCGCTCACGCTCGCGCTCGCGCCAGGTGTGGTACTAGGTGCAGCTGTCGTGGAGGGGCAGAAGGCGGACGGGCTTCCGCGCGCCAGACCGCCGAACGAGGAAGGCGCGGACAAGTTTGGGAGTCCGGGGAGAGAAAGCGGAGCCTCGGCGGGAGCCTGGCCCGCCGCGAAGGGAACTCCACCGAATCTCCACGGATAAAGCGCCGCCAAACCCGCGGGGTTTCCCGCCATCCCGCCTGGAGCCTGCGCGCCGGGCGCGGCAGGCGGCGCGGCGAAAGTTGCGCCGGTGGGGGCGGAAAAGGCGGAGGGAAGGCCCATTTGGCGGAGAGCGGCGCTGCTGTCGACCACCATGTGCGGAGGCAAGTGCGCCGGCAGATGCGCCGGGAGATGTGTCGGCAGATTAGACGGCACAAACTGGCCGTGTGGTAAGGCGGCAGCGAACGGATTCGAACCCGCGTCCGTCGCAGCGACAGCGGGATCCATGCCCCATGGTGAAGACCCCGCCATGGCTGCGGCTGCAGACGCGGCGGCCATTGCGGCGGCAGACGCGGCGGCCATTGCGGCGGCGGCGGCGGGGGAGCTCATACTTAGCACTTCTGCCCCCGGACTCGCCATTCCGCCGGTCAACCCGGTCAATCCGGTCAATCCAGTGACGCTGCTGCCGTCTGGGCTGCAGCTGCGACCAGCTGACGGGCAGAATCCGAACGGCCCGGCAACAGCCCCACCGGCCGGCAGGAGACCGGCTGCCGGTTGCTGATTCCCCGGGGAGTTGGCAACGGCGGCGGTGGCGGCGCCCGCGGGGATCTTGCCCTTCCGGCGGCCGGAGCCGACGGGGACGTTGCGGAGCGTTCCGCCGGCGGTCCAGTAGCGCTGGCAGCCCTTGCAGAAATGGCGCGGCTGCGACGCGTTGTAGTTGTTGTAGTAGCAGAACTTAGTATCCATGCTCGCGCACCGCGGGCACGGAAGCTTCTTAGTCGGCCGCTTCAGCGACTGCTGCTCCTGCTGCTCCAATTGCGGCTGCTGCTCCTGCTCCTGCCCGTCCGCACGTTCGGAAGCCGCCTGCTCCTGAGCCCCCGTCGTTGGCTGCGCCAATTGCGCTTGCGCATGCGCTAGTTGCGCCTGCCCCGGCTGTCCCTGCTCCGTTGGTTCGTCCACGCCGCTATCCCCGGCACCGTCGCTGTCGCCGGCGCCATTGCTGTTTGCTTGAGCAATCGTTGAATGTTTTCTGCATACCGCGTTGTCCTCGTAATTTTCATCCGCGCCTTCCGTCGCACCGTTTCCTGCGCGAGGCTCGTCGTCGACTTGGCTTTTCATGCTCGAGCAACTTGCGATGCGGGCTTGCTTTGGTTTGCCGGTCGCTGCCTGGCCCTCCATTGCCGCGGCTAGTATCGCATCCTGCAGATATCGAGGATAGAATAAGAAGAGAAGACGGAAAAATGGGTCAGTTTCAGAAATTGGTTGGTCAGATGCAATTAAGCCTACAAGACTTAGAGAGGCCTTCACTCTTCAGTAATTGAGGTGTTTTGAGAATATACTCACAAGTCCGCGGCATTGCTGCTGTGAGGCTGCGGAATTGACGTCGGAAGATCCGGCAGTTTCGGCAGTGTCATCTTCCCGACCGCCATTGGTTCGCCTCGATTCGCCTGACAACGACGCGTGAGGAGAATCGCTCTGGCTGGTTGTGGCCTCTATTGTCCGACCGAACAGCCGGATTCCAGGATCTCCGGCGTGGGCTTCAAAAGCAGGCATCTGTGGGTGCGCAACGGCCGCCATATTGTGCAACAGTACTTCTCAGTCGCGGCTCGCCAGTGGACCGAACGGCCTTTGACTCACTCAACGTAATGCTCTAGTAATATTTAGTTAGCAAAGAATCAAAGTCTGGAGGCGCTGGTCACAACACGAAGCTTAGGATGGACTTAGGATGGTTTGAAGTGGCTATGCACCAAGAAAGGTGTGGAGTTGTTTTAAGGGTGAGGGTGCTGTGTTGGGAAAAAGTGCGACACGCTGGCATAGAAAAAGGCTGGTTCGACTAAAAGGTCTGCTTGCGAGGGGTGTGCGGTGTGAGCGAGAGCTGAGACAGGCAGTCAGGCAGGGCCGCACAAGACAGAGGAAGGAGTGAACGTGGGGCGGGAGAAAGCAGAAGCAGCGAGAGTGGATTGGAGGTTGCGGAATACGAGGTGCAGTGGCAGCACTTTTTGCTGGCGGTTGTGTGGGCTGGGCAGATTCATTTCTTGTACAGTTGATAATTTTGTGTTTTCTGTGGTCGAGAGAGATTTCGGGGGAGGCAGGGGGGGAAGAGCGGACAGGGAGCGCGCGACATGCAAGATGTTGGGGAGGGGTAAGTGATGAACATGCCAGGTGGGGAGGGGGAATTGGCGACCCGCGCGTGGTTGAGGTGAGGGGGCGTTTGGAGTGCCCTGCCATCCGAGCTTGGCTGCAGAAGAGAAAATGGATGTGAACAGAAGCGCTGTGATTGGTGGAGTTTAATAGATGAAACTGAAAGTTGGGCAGATTTCTTCTGCGTGGTTATCGTTCCCGCCTGGCTCGTAGGAAGATTTTGCAAAGAATTCTGTCGACAGCAAAGGCGGGTGGGTGATGCTGATGTGGCGCCTGAAAGAACATACGTAATTGAAACAAGATCGGCTCGACAAATATAATGGTAGTAATACACGTGTGGAACCTACGAACACGTCAGCGAGATGCCCGTACAACGAAAGCAGCCCCTCATATGTCGGGAAGAGATATCGCGGATAGACTAGGCTAATGGGGTGGCGGGAATCCTAGTCATGCATTCACGTGCTACACTTTCCAGCCTAAAAGTGCTGAATCAGCAATAACGGTGTGGACAAGCAGCACACCATTCGTTTCATTTTACAATCATTACCTTCCCTCCACAACCACAAGGTCTGTGGTCGGGAAGAGTCCTGCTACGCCAAAAGCAGCCTTGGCTGAAAATGCATGCGGCCTAGATGTTTCGTGTCCACTTATCAATTCCATGGACTGCAATGCACCCTCTTTCTAGATGTGGCTCCCTGGAGATGGCGATTTTCTTACGGGAGCGGAGGGGAATCGCCGAAAGAAAAATCTCGCAGTCAAAGTAAAGTGTCTGGGCCGACCATTCCCCACAAAGTGTGGAGGAAAATCCTATCCTAGATACCTTGCCAGTCTTCGCTAAAAGGAAGCATACGGTGGACATATCACTTTATACAATCCATTCGTAGTACTATATTTCTTAGACCAGGTTCGCATCATTACTAAAATCATCGCATATGATATGTATGAACATTGAAAAAAAAAACATTTCAGGACCTGTTAAAGTCAATTATCGTCGGTACTGCAATGCGAATTGTAGAACACCCAAACATTACATACCATACAATTTAAACGGGCTGACATGATACTAATGATTTCATACTACCGATAGTCTGATCATCTTTTGATACATGTGATAAAGAAGTAACGCAATCATACCCAAGGGAGATGCTGAAGCCTGTCTACGTTTGCGTGTGCATAGCATCACACATTTTCAAAAAGGACCCACATCAATATGGATGTTTTGCATCTTTCAAATGCTCCAAATAAGCAGCAGCAAGGAAAGGTCGCTCTCTCCTCACACCCAGATGTTTTATTTAGTGCATAAAAACACTGTCACTTGTCACAAATAACTTCTGAAGCTGGGCATGCTAAGAGATTAGGAGGCACGAAGACGAACGTGACCCCATGAGCAATCAGCCTGTCTGTGGACGCTGCTGCAGGGATGTTTAGAGGTGACGGGATCTTCATGGGAGGGTAAGTCTGGAAATAACACTCCTGATCCTTCTTTACTTTAGTCACTAGCCTTCCACCATCTCTGGTCGTGAAATTCGTTCCAGGCTCCGCGTTTAGCAGGTCAGCCAGCGTCCATCGCCCTGCGAGTATATGGTGGCGGAAAATGCGCTTCTGCTGATCCTCTGTGAAATCGTTCCATTTGATTTGTTCGAACCCGATGTTGGACGGCACGAGGAGGGTGGATGGTTCGGAAAGGAGATCCTCGTCGGATCGAACTGCGCGAGCATAACGAGGAAAGAACGAGTTAGGAGCATGAAGGGGAGAGGAGGCAGGATAAACTTGAAAAGTTCTGCGGGTGGAGAATGTAAGAAAGTATGAGACATGCACACGCACGGAATTCGGCAAAGATCCGCGAGAAGGTAGAGAGGAAGGGGTGATTAATCTGTTTCACCAATGCAGTCGCCTCCGTCGCGTCAGCGGATGCGCGGGAAAGGCCGCAAATAATAATGAAGGCACACAGGGAAAGCATTCCCCAGGACACATTCGTCCGTGCCATGCGTGGAAGAACGTACAACGTGCGATTGTGTAACACGTCTGCGTCGCAATCAGTGATAATCTCAAGGCTAACGACGATACTACCAAGAATTGGCAAGACGGAAGATAGCCAAGAACAACACTAATCAACGACTGCCTAGTGCACACTAATAAGGGGGGCCCGGTAGACAAGAGGATCGAGCGAGGGTCTGGAATATGGCTAACTAAATTACTTGGCGAGAGCGCTGCCGCAGTAACAAAGCGGCATGTGGTGGTGAGTCCTTTGGCTTGCTTTGCAAAAGGTGCTTATGTGTTCATAAGGAACCTCAGGAGGAGCTCTAGACATGCATAAAGTGATTTCGAGAGGAGGTTACTGGGGAAACTTGGTTGGGTATAATACGGTTCATTAATAATAAAAGAAGGTTTCTGAGCTGTACATTACGGTGATTCCACATCAAACCATTCGAGGTCAAACCCATTGGTTTGCTTTCTGAGCAGAGCGCTACCAAAGGTCGTGCCATGAACCTGCAGACATGTTTTTGGGTAGTGTTCCATAACAGGAGCAGTGCCCGGATGGAAAGAATAGTTATGGGTTCATCGTAACCGCTTTGCACTGTAAAAACCTGTACCGGTTCAGAAACCATTGTATAGATACCCAACAACAACATCAGGTGTAAATAAAGCTTTACGAGAGGACCTGTTTGGCGCATATGCACTGCGTGATAATTTATTGCTTCCGTAAATACAATACTTACTATTGTTTCTCGTTAGAGTTCAAGGAAGGATTAAAGGTTTTGGGATCCACAAACGTTAAGTTACCCTAGTTCACGGAAACGCAGATCTGCCCGGAAACGCACATATGTACCACGCTTCCATCATCCCCAATGTAACCAGCAATCGGTGGGTCATTCGTGAATTTTTGACAAGGGGTCGTCTGGAGATCTCGAGGTAATTACTGCTCTCTAGGGTTTTCCGCAAAACCATCTCTAGGGTTCTCTAGGGTCTGCATAAGAGTCCCGTGACTCGAAAGCTTCTATACGTCCTTAGCCGATCGCGAATACACTGGCGGATGAGGATGTGATTGTTGTACAATACGCGTTCTACGGAAATTATAGCAGCCACGAGCGATTTCACGAGCACCATGCGGTTAACGTTCTGAGCTGTCGAAGGCCACAAATCCAAATATCATGGGTCGGAGACGGCCATCGAAGGCCGGATCTGGCTCGTCTCAGGGGTCCGATTCTACATCCGGCGATGCTGCTGCATCAGGCGGGGGATCGCGTGGTGCTATGGTGGTCTCTGGTAGCTCTAGCAGCAGGCGAGGCGCAGGCGACAGAGGGGTTTCAGTGCAACAGGACGAAGGATCCAAGGGAACGGGTCCTGGTTACCTTGAACCCTCAGATCCGCGATTCGCGGAGGTGAAATCGAAATGCGAAAAGGCAGTGAAGGCGCTTCGGCGGGGAAACGCTCCGAAAGCGGTGAAGCTTATAAAGGAAGCCACGGGGAAATTCTCGTCCGTTCCGCTGTGCCACCGCGTGAACGGACACATCCACCTGAAACTCGCCAACATGATCGAGGATGCTTCCACGAAGCAGCGCCATCTACGCACCGCGTTAGAATCCGCGCTTAAAGCCACGGAACTCTCTCCGAATTCCGTCGAGCTCTCCCACTTCTACGCACAGCTTCTTTTCGAAGTGGCCGACGGGCGTGACTATAGCGCGGTGTTGCGGGAGTGCGAGCGCGGGCTGGGAATCGAATCGCCGGTAGATCCGGCAAAGGAGAGCTTGCAGGAGGAGAGTCAGCAGGAGCTGGCGACGCCGGCGGAGCGCGTGACGCACGTGCAGAACGAGCTGCGCGGGCTGCAGCAGAAGGCGAACATCGCGTCGTTCTCGACCATCTGGCGGAGCTTCGGCATCGGCGCGGACGAGCGATTCAATGTCATGCAGGTATGGGAGAGGCCGTCTTGAATGCCGCAGGGTATAGTCGATTGAAGTATTTGCAAGTATATGCCAGTCGTGTAAGATTTGGAGGTATTTGGAGGTAGTTGAAAAGAGGTTAAAGCATTTTCACATTGTTCAGAGAAAAAAAAATGTAGTAGAAAGTAAGGAGCAGCTTCTAGGAAATGAGATCGGCTAGATTTCCCACTTCGAGGAAGCTCCTCTTCCCCCATTCCTCCTTTCCCTGTCCTCAGACGTTCCCGTTCCCCCTCCCCCTCCCCCTTTCCCCCCCACTCTTCCCAAGCAGGTAAAGAAGACCTCAGACGACCCCATCGAGCCGCGCTCTTCGCTGCCGCCGCGCCGCATCAACAAGACGCTGGAGGAGCGCCGCCAGGAGATTGAGGTGCGCGTCACGGCCGCGCGCCTGCTGCAGCAGCAGCAGCAGCAGCAGCTGCAGCTGCTGCAGTTACAGGGGCAACAGCAGGGGCAGGGGCAGGGCGCATCAGCAGACGGATCAGGAGCGGGAGCGTTTGCTTCCGCTTCGGATGCTGCGCCTGCGTCCGCTTCGCATGCTGCGCCTGGTTCCGCTTCCGCTTCCGCGGAGGAGGATGGCGCAGGGGGAAAGGACGCGGGCCGGGGGAAGAGGCGGGGGGGACAGGACGGGGCGAAGCGGCAGAGGGAGGTGTTGGCGGGGAGGGGCGGGGCGAGGGCGCAATTGGCTATAGAGGAGAAGGATAAGATTCTGAATATTCCCGTTGCTGACGTGTGCGATGGACTTTCCAGGTCAGCACGCAGCAAGAAGGGGTCGGGGGTGGGGAGTGCGAGCGGAGGGGGAAGCACAGGAGGGGGAGGCGGAGGGGGAGGGGAAGGGGGAGGTGGAGGAAGAGGGGGAGAGGAGGGAGAAACGGAGGGAGAAAGGGATGGAGCAGAGGAGGGAGCAAAAGAAGGAGCAGAGGAGAGAACAGAGGAAGGAGCGGAGAAGATAGAAGGAGTGGGAGTAGAGGAGGGAGGTGTGGATATTGAAAAGAGAGTGGCCGCTGCTCTAGGCAAGACCAAGGGTGGCAGTGAGGAGGAAAAGAAGGGAAGTATTTTAGGGGATTTGGGAATTACAAAAGAAACAGGCGAGGAGGAGAGAGAGATGGAGGATGAGGTGGAAGGTAAGGAGGTTAAAGTGGGTAGTGGCAGGGATGGAAAAGAGGGGGGTGCAGGAGAGGATGAGGAGGAAGAAGAGGAGGAAGAAGTGGAAGAGGAAGAGGAGGACGAGGAGGAGGAGGAGGAGGAGGAGGAAGAAGAAGAAGAGGAGGTATTTGATAACAAGTCAGGAACAGAGGAGGGGTGGATGGCTCTGAAAGGTGATCCTCGTCGGATCGAACTGCGAGAGAATGACGAGGAAAGAACGAGTGAGCATGCGATGGCGAGGAGGCAGGATAAACACGAGAAGTTAAGCAGGTGGAGAACGGTGAAATTTATGGCAGTGGCACACTTACGGAATTTGGCAAAGATTCGCGAGAAAAAAGATATGATTGATCTGTTTCACCAATCCAGCCGCCTCCGTCATGTCAGCTCATGCGCCCGAAATGCTGCGAATGATCAAGGCAACCAGGGAAAGCATTTTCAAGGACAAATTCGTCGGTGCCATGCGTGTCTTTCGGATTTTCCGGATTTTCCGACTTCAAAGAACGAAGGAAGTAAAGATTAGTGGTACTGGTGGTAGTATCAAGGCTAAAGTCGTTACAGAACTAAAAACCGGCAAGAAGCTAGCTAAGTCCAGCACACCAACGTGTGCCTGGCGCACACTAGGGCTAGCGCTGGGTGAGAATCTAGAATTTGGCTTACTGACACTATTGACAAGCCATTACAGTACCTGCCGAATGAGACCCTGCCTGCTGGAACAAGCCACCATGTGGTGATGAGTCACCCTCCTTGCTTAGGAAGGGGAAGCAATACCTGAATGGGACTGGTGATTTTGGGCATGGTCGAAGCGAATTCAGCGAGAGCTTTTTAGGGAATTTGAAAAGGTTCATTACGGTGCAAAGGTTTACGCTTCGGTGATTCTACATCAAACCATTCGAATTCAAACTGCTGGTTTCATTTTCTGCACTGCCACAGCACAGGTCAAGTCATCACACGGGGCAGTGTTCAAACGTTTTGTGTTTCCACAGGGTGGCCCCACACTGGCATCTGTTCCACAGGGATCTCTCGAAAGGACCTCCGGTGCTCCAAATTCACAGTAGTGTTTATCTGCTCGCGTGTGTAAGTGCCGGAAATGGCAGCTGTTTAGAAACTTCTAGTATATTATACGTTCTTTAAAAGAAAGACCCCATAAAAACTTGTGAGCATGCCTCGGCTGCACTCACCCTCGTTTATGGAAACACGGATCTGCCCGGAAACGTGCATGTTCACCATCTTCGCCACTTCAACCTACATATCGTTGGAATGTGAAAAAGGGGTCTTTTGGAGATCTCGAGGTGATTTCAGCTCTCTAGGGTTTTCGGCAAAACCGTCACTAGGTTTTTCTAGGGTCTCATAGTCCAGCCTAGTCGCATGACTCGCATCACCCGAAAGCTTACTTCCCTAGCTGATCAACAATAATGTCCTTGTATACTGATGGATGACGATCTGAATGTTTTACGGAAATCATAGCAGTCATAAGCGATCGCACGAGCACCATGCGGTTAACGTTTTGAGCTGTCATCAGGCGGAACAATTGGACTTGATTCAACAGATTCACAAATCATGGGTCGGAAACGGCCATCGAAGGCCGGATCTGGCTCGTCTCAGGGGTCCGATTCTACATCCGGCGATGCTGCCGCATCAGGCGGAGGTTCGCGTGGTGCTATGGTGGTATCCGGTAGTTCTAGCAGCAGGCGAGGCGCAGGCGACAGAGGGGTTTCATCGCAACAAGACGAAGGATCCAAGGGAACGGGTCCTGGTTACCTTGAACCCTCAGATCCGCGATTCGCGGAGGTGAAATCGGAATGCGAAAAGGCAGTGAAGGCGCTTCGGCGCGGCAACGCTCCGAAAGCGGTGAAGCTTATAAAGGAAGCCACGGGGAAATTCTCGTCCGTTCCGCTCTGCCACCGCGTGAACGGACACATCCATCTGAAACTCGCGAACATGATCGAAGATGCTTCCACGAAGCAGCGCCATCTACGCACCGCGTTAGAATCCGCGCTTAAAGCCACGGAACTCTCGCCGAACTCCGTCGAATACTCCCACTTCTACGCGCAGCTCCTCTTCGAAGCGGCCGACGGGCGTGACTATAGCGAGGTGCTGCGCGAGTGCGAGCGCGGGCTGGGGATCGAGTCGCCGGTAGATCCGGCGAAGGAGAGCCTGCAGGAGGAGAGCCAGCAGGAGCTGGCGACGCCGGCGGAGCGCGTGACGCACGTGCAGAACGAGCTGCGCGGGCTGCAGCAGAAGGCGAACATCGCGTCGTTCTCGACCATCTGGCGGAGCTTCGGCAACGGCGCGGACGAGCGGTTCAAGTTCCTGCAGGTATGGGAGAGAGAGGCTGTGGAAGGTACCACAGAGATTTGGTTGACGGCACTAGATTGACAGGGGGAACGTTTAAGTTTCTGCAAGTATGAGTCAGATGGTGAAAGTTCTTACGCGAATTTGATAGACATTTTCTCCCCAGGTATTATCAGGTGGTTTAAGGTTTGAAGGTACTTGATTAGTGGAAAGGTTATTGCAGGTATTTGATTGGCGGTGGGAAGTTTTGGCAGGTATTTTGACTCGTGGCTCAGCATTTTCTAAGAATTCCCGAAGTGGTTGTTGTGTTGAAGGAACTTAGTAAATAAGCAGCAGCTTTGAGGAAGTGACTGGTGATGTTTTTCTTTCTGATCCAATCGAAACTGATCGTGTTTGAGAACACCCTATTCCCACTCTCCCTCCATCCACATCCCTTAACCCCTTCCTAGTTCCAGTTACTTTTAAAAGTTATTAAGAGAGAATGAAGTAGATCTCGAATTGACCTCGCTTTTTTATTGAGACGACCCGATTGAGCTTCGCTCGTATTTCCCCCTTCCAACTTTCCCTTTTCAAACCTCCGACCTCCCCCCTTTCAAGCCTCCGGCCTCCCCTTTTCCCACTCCCCCTGTCCCCCTCCCCCTTCCCCGCTCCCCTCCCTCTTCCCCCCTGCTCCTTCAAAAGCAGGTGAAGAAGATCTCAGACGACCCCATCGAGCTGCGCACTTAACTCCCCCCTTCCCGCCTTCAAGCCGTCGCCCTCCCCCTCCCCCCCCCTTTGCTCCTTCAAAAGCAGGTGAAGAAGATCTCAGACGACCCCATTGAGCCGCGCTCGTATTTCCTCCTTCCCCGTTTCAAGCCCTCGGCCTCCCCTCTTTGCCCATCCCCACCCTCCCCTCCCTCTTCGCTCAAAAGCAGGTGAAGAAGATCTCAGACGACCCCATCGAGCCGCGCTCGTCTTTCACCCTCCCTCCTTCCGTCTTCCTCAGACGTTCCTCGTCCCCCCTCCCCCACCCCCCCCTGCCCCTCTTCCCCGGCCCTCGCTCAAAAGCAGGTGAAGAAGATCTCAGACGACCCCATCGAGCCGCGCTCGTCGCTGCCGCCGCGGCGCATCCACGAGGTGAAGCGCGTGGTGCGCACGCTGGAGGAGCGCCTCCCTTTCAAGCCCCCCGAGGAGCCGTGCCAGGAGCAGTTCGGCCGTACAGCAGCAGCAGTTCTGAGACGTCTGAAAACGCTTCCCTCCTGCCCTCCCACTTCCCCACACCCCGCCCTCTTCCCCACCCGCCTCCCTCTGTTCCCCTCCCCCTCCAAAAGCAGGTGAAAAAGATCTCAGATGATCCGATTGAGCCACGCTCGTCGCTCCCCCCGCGGCGCATCCACGAGGTGAAGCGCGTGGTGCGCACGCTGGAGGAGCGCCGCCAGGAGATCGAGGTGCGCGTCACGGCCGCGCGCCTGCTGCAGCAACAGCAGCAGCAGCTGCAGCAGCAGGGGCAGGGGCAAGGCGCAGCGGCAGACGGAGGCGGAGTTTCTGGTTCCGCGCCCGCCTCGGATGCTGCTCCTGGTTCCACGTCCGCCCGCGGGGAGCGGAAAGGGGACGCGGAGGAGGAGGGCGCAGGGGGGAAGGATGGGGCGGGGGGGAAGAGGCGCGGGGGGCTGGACGGGGCGAAGCGGCGGAGGGAGGTGCTGGCGGGGAGGCGCGGGGCCAGGGCGCAATCAGCTATAGAGGAGAAGGTGGAGAAGGTTAGACCGTTCTGGAAGGCGCTGGGGCAGGAGGAGAAGGATAAGATTCTGGATATCCCCATTGCTGACGTGTGCGAGGGCCTTGCCAAGTCAGCACGCGGCGGGAAGGGGGCGGGGGCGGGTAGCGCGGGCGGAGGGGGAGGCACAGGATTGGGAGGTGGAGGGGGAGGAGAAGGGGGAGGCGGAGGCGGAGGCGGAGGAGGAGGAGGAAGAGGGGGAGGGCATGCATCTGCGATCAGCAGCGGTGGTGGTACCGTCGGCTTGGGTGGGGAATCTGCGGTGTCGGCTGCGGCAGCAGCAGCTGCAGCAGAGGAGCTTATGTCTGAAGCGCTGAGTTTTGCCAAGGAGAGAAAACACTGGCAGTTCTGGGCGTGCTGCCTGTGCGACGAGCGATTTATAGACGCGGAGTCGTTTCAGGCGCACATGCAGGAGGAGCATATAGGAAAGCTGAGTGCGGAGCAGGAGAGAATGATTCCCGAGGAGGAGGCCCTTTCCTGGGAGGAGATTTTTACAAGGTTGGATGTTACGCCTGTGGATGGTATTGAGGCGGCGAGGAGGCTTGTAGAGGGGATGAGTGGGGCGGGTGGTGCGGTGGGTGGGGAGGGGGGTGGGAAGGGTGTGGAGGAGAGAGAGGGGAAGAGGAAGGGGAGTGAGGAGGGTGGTGATGGCGAGAAGGAGGAAGAGGAGAAGAAGGAGGGGAAGGAGGAGGAGGAGAAAGAGGAAGAGAAGGATGAAGCGTGTGCGATGGAGCTGGATGGGGAGGGGACAGAGGAGGGAGAAGCGGAGGGAGCAAAGGAGGGAGCGGAGAAGGGAGCGGAGGAGGGGGCCAAGAATGGAACGGAGGAGGGGGCCAAGAATGGAACGGAGGAGGGGGCCAAGAATGGAACGGAGGAGGGGGCCAAGAATGGAACGGAGGAGGGAACTGAGAAGGGAGAAGGGGAGGGAGATGTGGATATTGAGAAGGGAGTGGCCGCTGCTCTAGGCGAGACCAAAGGTGGCAGTGAGAAGGGGAAGAAGGGTAGTAGTTCGGGGGATTCGGGATCCGGAAAGGATTCACGTGAGGAGAGAGAGGTGGAGGGTGTTGGGGAAGGTAATGAAGTTAAAGTGGGTAGTGGCAGGGATGGTAAAGAGGGGGGTGCGGGAGAGGATGAGGAGGAGGAGGAGGAGGAAGATGATGATGAGGAGGAGGACGAGGAGGAAGAGGAGGAAGAAGAGGTAGGTGAAAGCAAGTTGGGAACAGAGGAAGGTGGTGCAGGGGAAAAGGGCTGTGTCACTGAAAAGGAAGCAGCACCTGCGGCAGCAGCGGCGGCGGCTGCGGCAGAGGCGGCGGCAGCAGCAGCGGCAGCAGCAGCAGAGGGTTGCAGGCATTGTGGGGAGTCGCTGCAGTGCAGGAGGCATGCGAGAGCTCTGCCAGTAGTGCAGGACAGGGAGAGGCAGCGGGAGCTGATGCGGCTTAAGCATATAGTGGAGCGCATGCTTAAAGCGGGGATACTGACCCGCGACCACATGGCGCGTATGGTGCAATATACCATGGTTCAGGTGCAAGCCATGGCTGAGAGAGCTTTAGAGGCGCCTGCCATGCCTCAAAAGTCGTTGCAGGTGCCAGGCATGGCAGAGAGAGTGCAGAAGGGTTTGGATGAGAGCGGGGGGAGTAGTGCAGGTAAAATGGAAGAGAAGGGTGGGGAGAAGGGAGAGAAGGGTGGAGAGGAGAAGGGAGGGAAAGGTGGAGCGGAGAAAGGAGAGAAGGGTGGAGAGGAGGCGGGTGCAGCTGTTGCGGCTGTTGGGGATGGTGCGAGCAGTGGTTGTGATGGCGATGCTGCTTCTGGAGTTGTGCTTTCTGCGTCTGATGCTGCTGTTGCGTCTGGTGCTGCTGCTGCGTCTGATGCTGCTGCTGATGCTGCTGCGTCGTCTGGTGCTGCTGCTGCTGCAGCTGTTGGTGCTGCTTCCTCGCTCACCACTGCTTCTGCGGAAGTTCCTGCTGCTGCTGCCACTGTTTTTGACGCTGTTGCTGCCGCTGTTGCTGACGCTGTTGCTGCTGCTCTTGCTGACTCTGTTGCTGCGTCGCGCACCACTGCTTCTGCGGAAGCTTCTTCTTCTGCTGCTGCCGTTGTTGATGACGCTGTTGCTGACGCTGCTGCTGCTGCTGCTGCTGCTGTTGCTGCCTCACTCACCACTGCTTCTCCAGAAGCTTCTTCTGCTGCTGCTGCCGCTGTTGCTGCCGCTGTTGCTCACGTTGTTGCTGACGCTGTTGCTGCCGCTGTTGATGATACTGCAGCTGATGCTGCTGCTTCCTCGCTCATAACTGCTTCTGCGGAAGCTTCTTCTTCTGTTGCTGCCGCTGCTGCTGACGCTCTTGCTGCCGTTGTTGCTGACGCTACTGCTGCTGCTGCTGCTGCTGCTGCTTCCTCGCTCACCATTTCTTCTGCTGCTGCTACCACAGGGGCTGCAGGGGAGGAGGCAGCGAGGGAGGGGGAGGTTGAAAAGGAGCGCCTGGGGAAGGCAGTATCTGAAGGGGATTCCATGGGAAAGGAGCCACATGAAGGTTCAGGTGAAGATTCAGGTGAAGGTTCACATGACGTCTCAGATGAAGATTCACTCAAGTGGCCAGATAAGGACGGGCTCGCTAAGGAGCAAATGGAGGAGGGAGCATGTAAGGAACGTTCCTTAGGCACGACTTCTGAGGAAGAGGGGACTCACAAGGCGTCTCGTAAGGGGTCTCTTGCTCGCCCCCAAGTCACGTTCACCCCGTCGCCAGTCTTTATGCGTTTCCTGCCGGCTCGCGACATACAGGAGCTGCAGGCGTACCTGCTAGAAGCGGAACAGGGGGCGTACTATAACGAGAACAAGGAGGCTGTGCTGCCGGATAGGCTCCTGCTAGATGGGGAGTTCACAAGAATCATTCTTGATGAGCGTGTGTTGAAGGATGTGGCTGAAGAGCCGAAGCTGCCGTTTAGGGATGCTGTGGGGGGGAGGGTGGAGGCAGGAGGGGGAGATGGAGGGAAGGAGGAGGCAGGAGAGGGAGGAGGGAAGGGGGGTGCTGCTGACAAGGGGGATGCTGGGGATGCTGACGGTGGTGGTAGGGCTAAACAAGGGGGAGAGCAGGAGGGAAAGGAAGCTGGGAAGGAGGTGAAAGGAGAGGGGCAGAAGGAGGCGAAGGGAGAGAAGCAGGAGGAAGAGGGTCAGAAGGAGGGGAAGCAGAAGGACGGGAAGGGAGAGGCGGGTGAGGAGGCGAAAGCAGCATCAGAAGTTGAGGAGAAGGGGGAGAAGGGGGAGAAGGAGGAGAAGGGGGAGAAGGAGGAGAAGGGGGAGAAGGAGGAGGAGGAGAAGGAGGAGAAGGAGGAGAAGGATGAGAAGGAGGAGAAGGAGGAAGGGGGGGAGGAAGAGGAGGAGTTGACAGTTGCTGTCCCTGAGGACCCGAGCATGAAATGGCCTCTGCCTCTCATGCGCGTGCGGAGAGGCGAAGGAGCAGCAGGAGGAGCAGGGGGAGGAGCAGGGGGAGGAGCAGGGGGATCGATGGGTGTTGGATTGCAAGCAGCAGGAGGGGGCGGAGGGGCGGGACCCACTGCTGGTGCCTCTGCTTCTGGTGCCGGTGCAGGTGGTGGTGGTGGGGTTGGGGGTGGTGCTTCTGGTGGTGGTGGTGGTGGGGGTGCTTCTGCTTCTGCTTCTGCTGCTGGTGCTACCACTGATGTGCCCAAGCATGACGATCTGCAGCTCGCTTGGATCTTCGGGCGAATGGATTATGAGATGGCTGCACCAACGTGGCGGAGTGCTTATAAAGAGGGCCTGGAGAAGGCGAGGGAAGTGATGGAAGGGCTAGATACGGAGTACAACTCGTTAAAGTCACAATGCGATAGAAGGATAGAGCTGGGGATTGCGGAACGGAAGCTGAGGAAGATGGAGAAAATGTTTGAGAAGGAGAGGCGGCAGAGGGAGAGGGACCCGGGGTATGTGAAACGGTTTGCGAGTGTGCTTAAAAGGAGGATGGCGGAGCTTGCAGAGGCGGAAGAGGAGGCATTGAGGGGGATTGCGGATGAGGAGGCAAGGGCGGCGGAGGAAGGGCGGGGGAAGGGCGGAAAGGGAGGTGGGGGAGCGGGGAAGAGAGAGGAGGGGGGTAAGGAGGGGGATAAGGAGGAGGAGGTGGAAAAGAGAGGAGGAGAGGAGGATTCGGATGAGGGGACGGCTTTGCTGGGTGATGGGGAGAGGAAGAGAGGGGGCGAGAGGAGGGACGCTGAAGTGGGGGAGAAAGGAGAGGCGGATGGGTGGGAAGAAGTTGGTGAGGGGGGTGAGGGGGGGAGGGTAGACGCAGGGAGTGAGGCGAGAGAGGGCTCAAAGGAAGGGGAAGGGGAGGGTGAGAAAGGGGCTGATGGGGTGAAAGGAAAGGATGGGGCAGGCGAAGAGGTGGGAGGGAAGGAGGAGGGAGGGGAGGGGGTCGAGAAGGAGAAGGGGAAGGAGGGAAAGGAAGAGGAAAAGGAGGAGGAAAAGGAGGTCGAGGAAGTGGGGAAAGAGAAGGGGACGGACGAGGGAAAGGAGCAGGGGAAGGAGGATGAGAAGGAGGAGGGGGAGAAGAAGCAGGCAAAGAGGAAGGTGTGGACGGAGAGGAGGCTGCAGGCGAATAAGATTGAGACAAGTGTCATTCGCAGCGTGCTCAGTGATTACCAGACGGCACTGTTCAGTGAGGTGAGAGCGTGAGAGATATTGAGTCGAGTTGTGAGGCATAGTCAAACGTGCTGAGTGACTATCAGACGTGTAGAGAGGGTGTTTTTGAGACGTCTCAAAGAGACCGGGAGAGACATTGAGTCGAGTTGTGAGGCATAATAAACGTGCTGAGTGACTATCAGATGGCGCTGTTCAGTGAGGTGAGTGAGAGGTTAGAGGCCTGAGCGACTGCGAGAGGCATTGAGTTGAGCTGAGAGGCATCCGCAGCGTGCTCAGTGATTACCAGACGGCACTGTTCAGTGAGGTGAGCAGCCAGTCCTTTGAGTAGACTCAAAAGTCACCTCGACAAGTGTCATCCGCAGCAGCGTGCTCAGTGATTACCAGACGGCACTGTTCAGTGAGGTGAGCGGCCTGTCTTTGCGTGAGTTGTATCTGGGATGGGAGATAATTTGTTTCTCTCCTCTTTTCTCCTCCTCTCGCCACACCTCCCCTCCCCTCTCTTCTCTCACCCCTGCTTCTTGTCAGCCGCGCGTGCCGTGTGGCGACCTGCTCTCCCTCACGCCCTCCCACCTGGGCGGCACATACTCTCTTCCCCTCCGGCACCAAACAACCCCCCCAATCATTCTTCCCCTCCCCCGCCCCCTCCCCCTTCCGCTTCCCCTTCTCTCCCCATTCCCCCTCAGCCGCGCATGCCATGTGGCGATCTGCTCTCCCTCGCGCCCTCCCATCTGGCCGGCACATTCTCTTCCCCACCCTGCACCAATCAACCCCCCCAATCATTCTTCCCCTCCCCCGCCCCCTCCCCCTTCCGCTTCCCCTTCTCTCCCCATTCCCCCTCAGCCGCGCATGCCATGTGGCGATCTGCTCTCCCTCGCGCCCTCCCATCTGGCCGGCACATTCTCTTCCCCACCCTGCACCAATCAACCCCCCCAATCATTCTTCCCCTCCCCCGCCCCCTCCCCCTTCCGCTTCCCCTTCTCTCCCCATTCCCCCTCAGCCTCGCATGCCGTGTGGCGATCTGCTCTCCCTCACGCCCTCCCACCTGGGCGGCACCGATTCGGATGAGGACGAGCACGACAGTTGGCGCGGGCCGGAGTTTGCCGCCCAGCTGGACCTGCGCATGGAGGGCGCGATTCGGAGCCACAGGAGCAGCATTTTGACAGAGGTAGGGTTTGGCTTAGGAGTTAGGAATACGGGAGGGTTTTAGCATTTGACCCTGGAATGTGGGAGGGTTTTAGCATTTGACCCTGGAATGTGGGAGGGTTTTAGCATTTGACCCTGGAATGTGGGAGGGTTTTAGCATTTGACCCTGGAATATGGGAGGGTTTTAGCATTTGACCCTGGAATGTGGGAGGGTTTTAGCATTTGACCCTGGAATGTGGGAGATGCTTAGCATTTGACTCTGGAACGTGGGAGAGGCTTAGCATTTGACTCTGGAATGTGGGAGAGGCTTAGCATTTGACTCTGGAATGTGGGAGAGGCTTAGCATTTGACTCTGGAATGTGGGATAGGATCCTGTGCCATCTGGAGGCGGTGCAGAAAAGGCCAACGTCAAGCATCACGTTCATCCTCACTTGCCTCTCTGTTCCCCTTCCCCTTCCCCTATCGGGCCGCATCTGTCTTGAGCAGAAGGAGCAAGCAGAGGAGAGGATTCTGTGCCATCTGGAGGCGGTGCAGAAGGCCAACGCCAAGCTCCACCCCTTCCCACTCCACTCCATCCCTTTCCACACCACTTCACCCACCTCAAACAGAAGGAGCAAGCGGAGGAGAGGATTCTGTGCCATCTGGAGGCGGTGCAGAAGGCCAACGCCAAGCTCCACCAGGCGTCTGTTTTCGACTACCGTGCCGCCATGCTGCCCATCGTCAAGACGTTCCTCCAGGTATGCGCATGGCTCTGCCAGGTGTGGAGAGTGGTTCTGCTTGGTGAGTGTTTCTCCCAGTGGCCTCTTCACGTTTCCTCATTCAGGTGCTTATTCCAGCTTCATCAAATCCTCGTTTTTTTTACTGCCATGTGTCTCAAAGGCGTCGCGAATGCTCCCATTGTCAGGAGGATTGCAATGAGGAAACTTGATTCCTGCATGTAAAGGTTCTGCTTTGATTTGATGTGCGGATTACCTGCATTCCAATTCGTTTTCTTTTGGTAATCATCCGTATCCTCAGAATCGCCTGGAGCAAGCAGCGGAGCAGGACGCGCAGAAACGTTCGGACGCTGCCCAAGAGGCGTTTTTTGCTGAGCTGGACAAGCAGGGGCAGGTGGAAAAGAACCGGGAGAAAAAGAAGGGGAAGGAGCGGGCCAAGAGTGGGAAGGGTGGTGGTGGGGGAGGAGGCGCAGGGGGAGGAGTAACAGGAGGAGGAGGAGGAGGGGAGAGTATTGGTAGGGTGGCAGGAGCGGAGGGAGGAGGGGAGGGCGAAGGAAGAGAGATAGGGAGCAGTAGTCAGCTAAGGGACAGTGACATGGAAGGAGGGAATGAGGGCGAGGAGGAAGGGGAGGGGGGAAGAGAAGGAAAAACGGAGAAGCATTTGAGGCAGGCAGGGGGAGAGAGAGACGGAGAAAGAGGGGAGAGAGAGAAAAGAGAGAAGAGGGAGAGGGAGAGGGTAAGGGAGAGGGAGAGGGTGCCACAGAGTGCGGCAGAGAGGGAGGAGGAGGCTCAGAGGCGGAGGGAGCAGCAGGAAATTTTGCGGCAGCAACAGGAGATGGAGGACGAGGAGAGGAAACTGGAATGGGCTTTGTCTCTCCAGAGGCAAGCAGAGGAGGCGGCGAAACGGCAGAGAATGGCTGAATTGGAGCGGCTCAGGCTGATGGGTGGTGGTGGGGAGGCTAAGTCGAGGGGGGTTGGGAAAGATGGGAGTGGTGGGGTGCAAGAGGTGAGGGTACGGATGGGGGAGGTGGAAGGGGGGATGGTGAGAGGGAGGCAAGGGGAATGGGAGGACGGGAGTTGTGAGGGGTCGAGCTGGGAGAGGGCTAATGGAGGTTCTGGGTTTGGGGTTTTGCAAGAGACTGCTGTGATGCAGGGGCCGGAAGGGTTTGTTGCAGGTGCCGATGCTATGGGTGTGGCTGCCGCTGCTGCAGGGGCAATAGGGGCGACAGGATGGGGGGAACCGGGCCCCAGGGAGCTTTCGAGTGCGGATACACATACGCATACAAACACACAGTTAGATACACATTCACATACACATACAAGCACTAACACACATACACCAGCAGGTGCGTCTCATCGTTCTCAGCAGTTGTCACAGAACCATGAATCGCAGCCAACCCAATGGCCCCAGCAGTCCCAGCAGTTGCAGCAGGAAGGCGCTTCAGCTGGTGGTGCTTCAGTCGCCTCTTCTTCTGCAGGAGTGGGTTCGGCTGTTAGCAGTGGTACGAGGCTAAGAGATTCTGATGGAAGGGATGAAGAAGGGTGGGGCGCGGTTGGTGTGGGTCAGACTGGCGGGCGGGCTAAGGGGCTGGGTGGGGGGCGGGGCGGGAGGGAGGTGGCAGGGGGTGTGAGTATGGGGAATGGGAGTGTGGAGAGTGGTGGGTGGCAGAAGGAAGAGGGTGGTGTGAGGGTGGGAGGAGAGTCAGGTGAGTCAACACAGAAGCAGAAGCGGAAGCAGGGGGGGCAGCAGGGGAGCCAGCAGCAGCAGCAGCAGCAGCAGCAGCAGCAGCAGCAGCAGCAGCAGCAGCAGCAGCAGCAGCAGGTGGGTGTGGGGGTCGTGACCAAAGCAGGGGAGGCAGGGGCACTGGCAAACGGCATTCCAGCGTCCGGGTTGGTCTCAGGTGATCGGTCAGGTGGCATAGTGCGGACTATAGCGAGTTCGAGCCAGCGACTGGGACACAAGGGTCGGGGGAGAGACAGAGACGGTGCTTTGCTTCCATCCCTGCAGCAGCAGCAGCAGCAGCAGCAGCAGCAGCAGCAGCAGCAACAGCAGCAGAAAGCGGCGAATCAGCAAGGCGAGGTGCAGAGGTTCAGGGCCGGGCAGAATCAAACTCAGGGTGCTGCTGCCACCCCGCCTGCGAATGCTGGGCTGCTGGGAGCGCCTCTTGTGCAGAGAGCTGGCTCAGGTGAAAATCCAGGTGCGGTTTCAGGTGCTGCTGCAGGCAGTGGTGGTGCTGTGTCTGATGGAGGGGCTGCTGCTGGGTCTGGCGAAGGGGGGGCGTTTGCAGGAGGTAAGAACAGGTCGAGGCGTAAGAGAGGCGGCAAGGGCAAGGCAGGCGGAATGGGTGGGCAGATGGAGGGGGGTTTGCAGGGGGGAGGGGGTTCACAGCTAGGCGCAGGTTCTCAGGCAGGAGAGGGTTTAGGGAGAAGCGCACGGGCAGCTGAAGCTGGAGATGCCACTGCTGCTGCTGCACCACTGGTCTTGGGTAGTGGCACAGACAAGAGCATTGAAGGAAATGTGATGCACGTGCAGGCACAGGCGCATCAAACACAGCAGCCGCAGCAGCAGCAGCAGCAATTACTGGGACAGGTACAGCAGCAGCCGCAGCCACAGCAGCCTTCACAGGGGAAAGTGCAACAACAGCAGCAACAACAGCAGCAGCCGCAGCAGCAGCAGCAGCACCCGTCCCAGTTGCCACCACTCCTGCCCTTAGTGCCTGCTACCACTGTGGCTGCTACTGTTGCCGGGGTGGTGGTGGGAGTAGTGGGGGCGGTTGGTGTGGGTGCGGCTGGTTTGGGAACGGTTGGTGGAGGGGCACTTGGTGGGGGCACAGTGCGGGGGGTACAGGATGGGTTGTTGGCGGCACCGGACGTGGTTAGAAGTGGTGGGCCTGGTAACCCTAATTCTGTAAACCCTAATTCTGTCAATCCGAGTGCTCTACCCATGAGCTCAAATGCCAGGCAAACCCGAAACCCTGCACATGGAAATCTGCCTGTCTTTCCCAGCCCTGCTCTCCCTAATGCGCCCCTGCCTGGTTCCCAGGAGGATTTACCAAGGCATGCTCACCAAGGGGTAATCCCCCCCCAAGGGCTGATTCCGTCCCAGAGGGTAGTGCCTTTTCAAGGGGTAACTCCCCCTGCCCATCAAGGGGTAATTGCCCCACAGGGGGTGGTTCACCCTCCAGGGTTTACTGGTTGGGGCGGGAAGGGGTATGCCGGGGGGTGGGGTGATGGGTCACAGGGGGAGGAGAGACAGGGTCGGGCTGGGGCTTGGCCGGGGCAGATGGGCGGAGGTATGGGGCCAGGTATGGGAGGAGGTATGGGTGGTGGAGGGATGGGTGGAAGCATGGGAGGAGGCATGGGAGGAGGCATGGGAGGAGGTATGGGAGGAGGTATGGGAGGAGGTATGGGAGGGGGAATGGGAGGAGGGGAGAGGGTTGAGGAGGTGGATGTAGAGGTTGCTGTAGGACCGAGATCGGCTGCTAGAGAGAGGAGGCGACAGCTACAGCAGCAGCAGCAGCAGCAGCAGCAACAGCAGCAGCAGCAACGACAGCAGCAGCAGCAGCAGCAGCAGCAGCAACAGCAGCAGCAGCAGCAGCAGCAGCAGCAGCATCGGCAGCAGCAGCAGCAACAGCAGCAGCAGACACAGGTGCAGATGCGGCAGGTCAAAGAGTATGCGCCTTTGGGGGCAACACAACAGCAAGCACAGGCAGAGGTGCAGCAGCATGGGCAGGGGCAGGCACAGGGGCAGGCGCAGCGGCAGGAAGAGAAAGGGGCTAATTCGTTGCAGCCTCAGGCTGACGATAGCAGGCAGCATCAGCAGCAGCAGGGGCAGACTATCGCTGCAACCTCTGTGTCCGTTTCAGCACCCCACAGACTCGGTCTTGAGAGTGCTGGCAATAGCACCAGCAGCTTCAGTGACAGGGGCGGCAGCAGCAGCAGCAGCAGCGGCAGCGGCAACGCCAGCAAGAGCGGCAGCGGCAGCAGCAGCAGTGGTGGGGGTAGGCCTATTGGCCTGTCTGGAATCACCTTTGGTTCCTTCACTAATGCTGCCACCACTGGAGGCGCAGCAGGTGCTATCTCCGGCCTCCCTCCCTCCTCCCTCTCTCCTCCCTCTGTCACCCCCCCTCCTCCGTCCTCGTCCCTCTCCAAATCTTCGTCTTCCGGTGCTGCAGCTGCAACTGGTGCTTCCGCTGCAACTGCTGCTTCCGCTACCACTGCCGTTGCACCTGGCACCGCCGGTAAGCTGCAGAACGGACCAGCAGCACCACAGGCGGGTCTGAGCACCCCACACTCTGGTGCTGTGGGTGGAGGGAGTGCGGGAAGTGGTGCTGCTGGTGCTGCCAATGCTGCCAGTGTTGCTGGTGGGATTGGTGGGGCAGCAGGGGATGCATATGGGGCACTATTGCCACTAGGGACGGTGCCTCTGGTTCCAGTGCCCATGCCATACCCCATGGCAGTCCCTGTCCCCATGCCCATGCACATGGGCACACACATGGGTGCCTCAATGGGTACCCCCATGGGTGCTGCTCCCTTCCCACCCGGCCCCATGCCTCCTCTTCCTGTTCCGGCAGGAGGTTCGGGCGCCGGGCCTGCTGGTTTGGCGAGCCTGGTTCCAGGGCCGGTGGGGTATATGGGGGTGCAGGGAGGTGCGGGTGGTGGTGGTGATGCTGCTGCCGCTGCTGGTGGTGCTGGCGAGGGTGCTTCACCTTCCCATGCTCAAATTCCCCACGCAGCCCCTCTCTATGCCCCTCCAGGCCTGCATCCCTCCTTCCAAGGAGCACCAGTCTCAGGAGCGGTGGCACAGACAGCAGGTGTAGCAGCAGGGCAGTCGGAACGTGCAGCAGCAGCAGCAGCGGCGGCAGCGGCAGCAGGGGCGGCAGGGGCAGCGGGGGTAGGGGGGGATCCGGCAGTGCTTATGGCGTATCCTGCTGGGACTGCTCCTGCTGGTGGTCTGGGTGTAGCAGTGGGGGGACGAGGAGGGCAAGGAGGAGTGGGAGGGACAGGCACAGCACAGCAGCAGCAGCAGCAGCAGGTGGGGCAGTCGGGAGCGTTTGCATCGCCGAGTAAGCTGTCTTCCCACGCTGCTCCCTTTGTTCCCGGGGGCATGCCCTCTCTCATGTACCCCTCGCCGTTCCTCCGCCCGCTCCCCTCGCCACACATCCGCCCACTGCCACCACCACCACAGGGACAGGGGCAGGCGCAGGCACAGGGGCAGACACAGGGGCAGACACAGGGGCAGACACAGGGGCAGACACAGGGGCAGACACAGGGGCAGGGACAGCAGGGGCAGGCGCAGCAACAAGCGCAAGCGCAAGCACAAGCACAAGCACAAGCACAAGCACAAGCACAAGCACAAGCACAAGCGCAAGCACAAGCGCAAGCACAAGCAACCATGCACCATACCCACCTCTCCCACCTGTCCCATCCGACCCATTCCTTACACCACGGCCCATCCCCACCCCCCAACCCCACGCCCCCGCCCTCTCACCCTTACTCGTCCCAACCCTATCCGTTTACATCCCAACCCCACCCACATGCCATCCCATCCGCCCACTCATACCCGCTTGCTCCCTCGCCTCCCCAGCATGGCCATGCTGCTGGGTCTCCAGGGCTGCCTGTGGGGTATCACACCCAGCAGCAGCAGCAGCAGCTGGGTTTGCAGCCTCAGGCTCATGCCATGCACTCCCAAATGGCTCAGCCTCATGGGGTGCATTTGCAGATGGCCCAGCCATCGCACGGGGTACAATCGCAGATGGCCCAGCCGTCACACGGGGTACAATCCCATGGGGTACAATCGCAAATGGCCCAGCAGCCGCACGGGGTACAATTGCAAATGGCCCACGCGCAAAGCATGCAGCCTCCGCAAGGGCTGCAGGCGCCCCCTTTCCACATGCGTGTGGCTCCCATTCCCGGTCATCAACTGGACACGACCCAATCAATGGGAGCTTCTCAAACGCCTCAACTGATGGAAACACCACAACATATGGAAACACCGCAACAGATGGGAGAGAGTCAACAGACGGGAGGCCCTGTGATGGGGATGGATTCGCGTGGAATGGTGGAGGCGGGAGTAAGGGAAGCAGGGGGAAGAGGAGGGGCAGGAGTGGCGGCAGGAGAGGCAGCAGGAGAGGTGGCAGGAGTAGGGGCGGTAGCAGGGAGGGGAGCAGCAGGAGGGGCAGCAGGTTATTATGAGAATTCTCAGGATGCCCATGCAGGTGTGTCAGCTGGGGATGCGGGAGGAAGGGAAGCAGCGGTGGTAGATGTGCAAAGAACAGGAGGTGGGGAGATGGTGTGGGAAGAAGGGAGGGGAGGGAGTGAGGGGGCAGTGGAGATGGGGGAAAGGAAGGAGGGGAATGAGGGAGTGATGGAGCAAGTAGGGGGTAGTGAAGGGCTGATGGGGGAAGGAATGGAGGGTGGAAGAGAGGGAGGAGAGGAAGGACGAGTGGTGGGAGGAGAGGAGGGAGGGGAGGGAGGAGAGGGGGGAGTAATGGCGAGAGTGGTGGGAATGGAGGGAACGGAGGTTGAAGGTAGGAGTGCTGCTGTGGATCACGAGGAGGAGGATGAGCAGTTTCAAGCAGACCTGCAACGAGCCATGCAACAGAGCATAGGTGGGTGCAGAGGGGTATAGGTAGGTGCCGCAGAGTACAGGTGGGTGCAGCAGAGTATAGGTAGGTGCAGAAGGGTATACGTGGGTGCAGAAGGGCATAGGTGAGTGTGGCAGAGCCATTGCTTCTAGTCCTGCCGCTGGTGGCTCTGTTGAAAACGCCTGAGTATTCACCTGAGCTTTTGTCCCTGCTCCATACATTTTTCCCTGCCCCTTCTTCCTCCCTCACTGCCCTCAACAGAGGATCTGGAGCGTTCATCTCACTCCCACTACTACCACTCTGCCTCCCGGCAACCCCCCAAGCACCAATCAGAAGCAGCCCTAAACCCCGCCAGCTCAGAAAGAATCTCAGACAGCCTGGCAGCAGCGCCTGCCACGTCAGCAGACTGGGATGCCAGCATGGTGCTGACGCTACGAGAGGAGAGTGGGGAGTCGAGAGAGGGAGGGGGAGTGGAGGGGGGAATGGAGGTGGATGTGAGGGGGAGTGGAGGGGGAGGAGGGGTGGTGGAGATGGTGTGGAGTGGAGCGGGAGGAGAGGAGGGGCTGGTGGGGCTGCGGAATGAGATTGGGGAGTATAACTGCTTCCTCAATGTCATTATTCAGGTAGGGAGGGGCTGTTGGTTCAGTGAGGAAATGATTCCTTTTCTGGTGAGGAATCACAGTTGCGTCGGTAGTGCCCCAAAGAGGGGAGGAGGGGCTGGTGGGGCTGCGGAAAGAGATTGGGGGGTATAACTGCTTCCTCAATGTCATTATTCAGGTGCGGAGGGACTGTTCTGTTGCTTGCTTGAGGAGTGACTGCTTTTTGGGTGTGTTTGTTATGTCCCAAATCTGGACACCTCCTTGAACTCAACTCAGTGACTTTTGAGTCGACTCAAAAGACACCTCCTTGCTCTCAACTCAGTGACTTTTGAGTCGACTCAAAAGACACCTCCTTGCTCTCAACTCCACCAGCAGCACGAGCATCAACGCCGGCATTTGAGACGTCTCAAAAACTCAACTCCACCAGCAGCACGAGCAGCAACGCCGGCACCATCAACTAATAAATATCCGTTTGTTTCCCGTATGTTCTTCCGCATGTTTCGTCCCACTGGTTCCCAAACCCCCCAGTCCCTCTGGCACTTGAGCAGGTTCAGGGAGAGGCTGTTGCACCCATCATGCCAGCAGCACAGCCATCAGAGAGCATTGCCAAGTTCCAACCCTAATGATAAACACTCCTTTCCACCCTCTCTGTCTCTCCCCGTCTCTTCTTCCCCGGGTTCCCAACCCCCCCAGTCCCTGTGGCACTTGCGCAGGTTCAGGGAGAGGCTGTTGCACCCATCATGCCAGCAGCACAGCCATCAGGGCGATCCATGTGTGGTCTGCGCTCTCAGAGACATCTTTCTTGCTCTCAACACCACCAGCACCACCACCATCACAGCCAGCCCTTCTGTTGCCACCACCACTACTCCCAGCACCACCACCATCGCCACCACCAGCACCAACTCGTTCGGCTCGACTGCTATTGTTCCCTTTGCCGCCTCCGTTGCTGCTCCGTCTGCTTCTCCTTCTGCCACCGGTGCTGCTGCTGCTGCTGCTGCTGCTGCTGCACCTGTCTCGTTGCGGCCTGCTTGGAAATCTTCCCCAGCAGCAGCAGGATCAGCAGTAGGAGCAGGAGGAGCAGGAGGAGCAGGAGGAGCAGGAGCAGGATTCAGGGAGACAGTTTCCCAAGCTGCTAGCTCTGCTGTTTCTGCTGCTGATACCGCCGCTTTCCCTCCTCTCAGCTCCTCTGATTTCCCTGTACTGAGCAACACCAGCAGCATCAGTAGCTTCAGCGGTAGCGGCAGCGCTGCAGCAGGCTCATCCCCTCTAGAAGGAGATTTGTTATCGGATGCTGAGAGTGCGTCAGCCAACAAAAGGAGCAAGAGGACACAGCAGAGCCATACCTGGGGCGCGCAGCAGGCTCACAGCAGCAGCGGGATGCCGCAGCAGACTAATCCACAGCCACAGACATTGCCACAAACCTCTATACAGTCCCAACCACACCCCCCTGCACAGGCACAGGCACAGGCACAGGCACAGGCACAGGCACAGGCACAGGCACAGGCACAGGCACAACCCTCCACACACAGTAGTTATGCCACTGCTCTGGCAGAGCGCGGTGGGGCCAGGAGTGCACACACTAGCACAGCCACCAGTGCGGCGGTTACCAACACGGTTACCAACGCGGTTACCAGCACAGCTGCTAGTAGTGTAACAGAGGCAGTTCCTTCTGGTAACGACGCAATTACATCTAGGGTTACACCTGCAGAGCCCGCTTCATCTGCAGCAGCAGCAGCAGCAGCAGCAGCAGCAGCAGCAGCAGCAGCAGCAGCAGCAGGAGCAGCGGCAGCAGCGGCGGCGGCAGCAGCAGCAGGGGTGGCAGTGGTGGCAGTGGCGCCAGCAGCAGGGGGAGGGGCGGGCCCCTCTGTTCGAACTGTAGTGGCGCCCACAGCGCTAAGAGTGGCACTTAGTGCCATGTTTGCAGACTCTGAGTTCTTCCAACAGGTATTTTCAAAGCTTTGTTGATGTCTTCTGAGCGAGTATGCTCTCACAGGTCAAGAGAAACGCTTTTTGCCATGCTTTTTTAGTTGGTTGACTTTAGTAACGCCGCCTCCTCCTGTACCCTTTTATTTTTATTTTTATTTTGCTGCCCCATTTTCCCACCTTTCCCCTTCTCCAGTCTCAGATGAATGATGCTTCAGAGGTTCTCCCAGTCATCTTCGACTGCCTCCACCGAGCCTTCGCCGAACCTGCCTCCGAACCTGCAGGCGGGGCATCTGGTTCGGCATCAGAAGCATCTTCCAGTGTCAAATCCACAGCTGTCAACGTTTCGACAGATCATTCTTTTATTGACCCGGGCAGCAGTGCAGCCAATCAGAAGCAGGCAGGAAGCTGGGACTGCCCGGCCTCAACAGCAGCTTGGGACCGAGCCTTCCTCGCAGCTTCGGCAGACAGCGGGTCTGTGTCAAACCAGACTACAGCTCCAGGGCAGAGCCGCGATGTAGGTCCGTCAGCAGGTTCAGTACCAGGCTCAGTAGCAGTAGGTTCGGCAGCAGGCTCGGGGACAGCCTCGGGCGGTGGTGCTGCTGTGTCAGCTTCTCCTCTCTCCTATGGTGCTGTGGTGGCCAGAGGAAAAGGCGGGGCCAGTGCTAACGGGGCTGCTGCATCAGCGGGAACTGCAAATGTTAGGAAACCTGGTGGGGGGTTAGGATCAGGGAGTAGGGTAGGGGACAGTGTAGCAACCGGGGTAGGAGCAGCAGGAGCAGGAGCAGGAGCAGCTGCAGCAGCAGAGGTGGCAGGGGAGGCGGCAGCAGCGGTGTGCATAGCGCATGGGCTGTTTGGGCTGGATGTGACTGAAATGATGCAGTGCTCTCGCTGCGGCCGGCAGTCCCGCCAGATGCGTTACTCCTCCTTCTTCCACCACACCAACGCCACAGCTCTCAGATTATCCAAGGTGTGTGAATGGGGGCGTGTGTGTGTGAGAGTCGTGTGTGGGCGTGCGTATGTGTATGAGGGTATGTGTGTGTGGCGTGCTAGGAACATGCATAGCGCATGGGCTGTTTGGGCTGGATGTGACTGAAATGATGCGGTGCTCTCGCTGCGGCCTGCAGTCGCGCCAGATGCGCTACTCCTCCTTCTTCCACCACGCCAACGCCACTGCCCTCAGATTATCCAAGGTTAGTGTGTGGGCGTAGGTGTGGGGCGCTAGGAGGACTGTGCCTAGCGCCAAGACCCGCCAGATGCGCTACTCCTCCTTCCACCATGCCAACGCCACTGCCCTTAGACTGTCCAAGGTGAGTGTCTGTGTGTCCCAAACATCCCAAACCCTAAACTCGAACCCCTGGGCGTATGTGTGTGGATGGGGCGTATTTTTGGGCGCTATCAGTATGCTTAGCGCATGAGCTAGTTGGGGCTTTTAGGGTCTGTTTGCGGCTGTTTGGGCTGGATGTGACAGAGGTGATGCGGTGCTCTCGATGCGGCCTGCAGTCCCGCCAGATGCGCTACTCCTCCTTCTTCCACCATGCCAACGCCACTGCTCTCAGGCTCTCCAAGGTGAGCGTCTAAGAGGCACTGGGTGACTTTTGAGACGTCTCAAAAAAAACTCTCCAAGGTGAGGGTCTAAGAGGAACTGGGTGCGAATATGTGTGTGGGCCGCTATATTTGTGCATAGCCGCTATATTTGTGCATAGCTCTCAAGACCCGCCAGATGTGCTACTCCTTCTTCCATCACGCCAACGCCACTGCCCTTAGACTGCCTAAGGTGAGTGTGTGTCTTGGCGTGTGTGCATATGCGAGGGGCGCTAGGACCCTGCATACATGTCTCTCAAGACTGGTCAGATGCATCACTCCTTCTTCTTCCACCATGCCAACGCCACTGCCCTCAGGCTCTCCAAGGTGAGCGAAGCAGAATGAGATGCAGCGAAAGCAGAATGAGATGCAGTGAAAGCAGAATGAGATGCAGTGAAAGCAGAATGAGATGCAGTGAAAGCAGAATGAGATGCAGTGAAAGCAGAATGAGATGCAGCGAAAGCAGAATGAGATGCAGTGAAAGCAGAATGAGATGCAGTGAAAGCAGAATGAGATGCAGTGAAAGCAGCATGAGATGCAGCGAAAGCAGAATGAGATGCAGTGAAAGCAGAATGAGATGCAGTGAAAGCAGAATGAGATGCAGTGAAAGCAGAATGAGATGCAGTGAAAGCAGAATGAGATGCAGTGAAAGCAGAATGAGATGCAGTGAAAGCAGAATGAGATGCAGTGAAAGCAGAATGAGATGCAGTGAAAGCAGAATGAGATGCAGCGAAAGCAGAATGAGATGCAGGGAAAGCAGAATGAGATGCAGCGAAAGCAGAATGAGATGCAGCGAAAGCAGAATGAGATGCAGTGCAAGCAGAATGAGATGCAGTGAAAGCAGAATGAGATGCAGTGAAAGCAGAATGAGATGCAGTGAAAGCAGAATGAGATGCAGTGAAAGCAGAATGAGATGCAGTGAAAGCAGAATGAGATGCAGCGAAAGCAGAATGAGATGCAGTGAAAGCAGAATGAGATGCAGTGAAAGCAGAATGAGATGCAGTGAAAGCAGAATGAGATGCAGTGAAAGCAGAATGAGATGCAGTGAAAGCAGAATGAGATGCAGTGAAAGCAGAATGAGATGCAGTGAAAGCAGAATGAGATGCAGTGAAAGCAGAATGAGATGCAGTGAAAGCAGCGAGAGATGCTCCCACGTGCCGTCTCCCCTCTCAACTCTTTCCTCACCCCTCTCAACCCCTTCCCACAGCTGGGCAATCCGACCTGCCGCATGGACGAGCTATTAGCGGGCATGGAGCAGCACCATCTGCTGCCCCGTCCCCTCGTCACCACTCTCAAATCCTCCTTCACCGCACCCAATCCCTTCCCAGAGCTGGGCAACCCTAAGTATCGAATGGACGAGCTATTAGCGGGAATGGAGCAGCACCATCTGCTGCCATGCGATGTGGACGTGGGGGGGTGCTGCTACTCTCTCGTCCCCTACCCCTCTCAACTCCTCCGCAACCCTCTCAATCCCTCCTTCACCCCTCTGAACCCCTCCTTACAGCTGGGAAATCCAACGTGTCGAATGGACGAGCTATTAGCGGGAATGGAGCAGCATCATCTTCTGCCATGCGATGTGGAAGTGGGGGGATGTGGGCATCCCAACGCCATTCAGCATGTTCTGCGCCGCGCTCCACCCATCTTCACCACTGGTGAGTGAGAGCGAGGTGTGTTATTCATGCACTGCAGAGTGGGAGGGAAGACTTAAGAGTCCACTCTTGAGTCGACTTCACCACTGGTGAGTGAGAGAGAGAGGGGTTATTTTTTTAGTCGACTCAAAACTTGGTGCGAGCGAGGGGTTATTCATGCAGTGCAGAGTGGGAGGGAAGGGCTATTTCAACACTCGGGAGGGGGGAGAGGGCTGGATGGTTGTGGAGGGAGGTGTGTGTGAGGCCAATGCTATGTGCCTGAGACAGTCAGGCTGTGGGGGGATGCGGGCACCCCAATGCCGTTAGCACTGGAGCACTGGTCGGGGGGGAAGGGCGCACTGGTGTGGTGTGTGGTGTGGTGTGGTGTGGTGTGGAGTACTGGGCCTGTCTTGACTCCTTTCCTTGTCTTCTTCCCCTTCCCCATACCCGCTGAACTATTCCCCTTCTTGCTGTTTACTGCCCCACCTGCAGCCCTGGGGTTGCAGAGCGACGGGGAGGAAACAGAGGATATAGGCCTGACACTGGCAGCTCTGGACAGCTCTGGACGTGCAGATGGACGTGGGAGTCGCGTGTAATGAGGGTATTTTTGAGACGTCTCAACGATATAGGCCTGACACTGGCAGGGCTAGACGTGCAGATGGGCGTGGGTGTGGTGTATCGGGGCCGGCCTGCCCCATCCAGTCGTTTCAACTCATTTCCTCCCCCTCTTTCTTGCTCTTTATCGCTCCTCCCTTTCGGTTTTCCAGTCTTGGGATGGCAGAGCGACGGGGAGGAAACAGAGGATATAGGCCTGACACTGGCAGGGCTAGACGTGCAGATGGACGTGGGAGTGGTGTACCGGGGCCTGCCGGGGCCGCAGAGGGTGCGCGTGATGTGGTGTGGTGTGGTGTGTTACCTCTGACTCCTTTCCTTCCCCTCTTTCTCCTTGTGTGTCTTGCCTCATTTTTCAGTCCTGGGGTGGCAGAGCGACAGGGAGGAGGCGGAGGACATAGGCCTGACCCTAGCAGCTCTGGACGTGCAGTTGGACGTGGGAGTGGTGTACCAGGGGCTGCCGGGCCCGCAGAGGGTGCGGGTGGTGTGTGTAGTGTGCTACTATGGGCGGCACTACCACTGCTTCTCCTTCCATGCGGACCTGGGCAAGTGGGTCATGTTCGACGATACCACCGTCAAGGTGAGAAGATAGACGGAGGTGGAGCAGTGGATTGAGGTGGAGGGAGGTGGCAAGAGGTGGAGAGAGGCGGAGAGGTGTGGAGTGCGGTGATAATGATGTAGGTGTTTCAGTTGAGCTGAGGTGCTTGCGTGCGCTGGGGCCTGCCGGGCCCGCAGAGGGTGCGCGTGGTGTGCTACTATGGGCGGCACTACCACTGCTTCTCCTTCCGTGGCGATCTGGGCAAGTGGGTCATGTTCGACGATACCACCGTCAAGGTGAGACGCGGTGGAGGGAGGACGAGAGAGGTGGCGATGGGTTATGATGACAAGTGTGCATTTAGCAGGGTTTACTGTCCGTGCCCCCTGGAAGGCGGACCTGCCCAAGTGGGTCATGTTCGACGATACCACTGTCAAGGTGATACAAGGTTGGAAAGGAGTGGAGGGAGGTGGAGCAATGTGAAGGGAGGTGGAGTGAGATGGAGAGAGGTGGAGGGAGGTGGAGGGAGTGGAGGGAGGTGGAGCAATGTGAAGGGAGGTGGAGTGAGATGGAGAGAGGTGGAGGGAGGTGGAGGGAGTGGAGGGAGGTGGAGACAGGTGGAGGGAGGTGGTGATAAAGTAGTTGTATGTGTGGCATAGGCTGTGGATGTGACACCACTCGAGGGATTGCATGTGCCTCTGACCGCACTGTCCTCTTTCCACTGTTGCAACCTTCCTGCAGGTGGTTGGGGGGTGGCACGACATGGTCAGCCCAATCATGTTGAATCAGCATTTGAGGATTCTCAAAAGCTGGATTCTCAAAAGCTTCTTCTTTTCTGTGTCTCTGTTCCCTGGTGCGTCCGTGCTGCAGGTGGTTGGAGGGTGGGCATACGTGGTGAGCTCATACACCCGCGGCCGACTGCAGCCACAAGTGCATCAATCATGTTGGATTCTCCTTCCCTCTCTCTCTCGCTCTTATGGTCCCTGCAGGTGGTTGGGGGCTGGGCGGATGTGGTGAGCTCATGCACCCGCGGCCGACTGCAGCCACAAGTGCTCTTTTACGAGGCATGCTAGTGTTAGTGACATGAAACGAATGCTAAACCATGGTGCCACATGCTACCCCATGCTACCCATGTGAAACGAAGCTTTTCCTCTTGGAGTGAAGGTGCCCATTGTAGGGTACAGCCAGCCATGGCCGCTCTTTTCTCGCAGGGCTTGCTCTCGTGTAGCTGTTATACAAAGCTTTGTGCCTCGCCGTCGGCGCATGTTCTATACTCTGTGGGGCTGCTAGGGCTGCTTGGAGCTCAGTAGGATGATGACTCAAGTGTGTTTTGTGCCTTTTGCAAAATCTGGGAGGGGTTGGCTTTCATGCTGTGATGAAAGGGGTTTCAGAATGCTTGTTCTGCGAGCTAGCAGGGTGTGGTTTCATTTGGTGCTTGACCAAAACAATGCATCACAAGGTGAAGGCTTTGGTAGGAGTTCCATTTGTGTTCTTCGTGCAAGCTTGTGTATTGATTGTTGCTTCCTAGTGATGAATAACCTTGATAGAACTATTATAATATTGTGGCACTTTCAATCACCTTTTGGTGCACTTGCAGGTCTGCTGTGTAGTTCTCACAGTTTCCTTGATTTATCCATAGGATCCAGCTGTTTCCTGAATATGTATAATGCCAGAGTATTTTGTTAGTTTACACCTTATAAATGGCTCAGATTAGCGGTGTAACAGCTAGCGAAGGCTGTTACGGTACATGTGGTAAGATACTGTTGTGAGTTCGTGGGTGGGTGGGTGGAAGTGAAATGAGAGGACCTCTCGCAATTGCACTGTTCTACCATGTTGTTCAGTTTGTCACGGTACGACCACTATTTCTGTCGTGATTGGCGGGAACGAGCAACACCCATGTTCGAATTCGAAACGGACGGACGGAAAACGTCAACCTCAGGGATTTCAAAATTAAAGTTGCGCGTGCGTAACGGCCGTTCAAAATGTTAGCCCTCACTGGCAGGCGGTGGCAAATGTTCGTCTGTTTTGTTCAGGTTTGGTCAAAATCCAAACAATCCGTTTTCATAGCTAGCCAACACTTTGACAGTGAGTCGCCTTATTTGGGACAAAACGGGCTGCTCTCATTGGTCGAATCTTCATTCGGTCACCCCAATTGCACGACAACCACGGTGCCCGTTTCGAGGAAATATAACGCCGCCTGGGCCAGCCAAACAGCGCGCGACACGCCCAGATTCAATTCGTTTCGTCCAGATAAGTCCAAACGAGCGTAGTTACTGTTGTCCGCACTCTTCGACACTTTTGTTTCACCACACTGGCCAAAGAAAGAGTACACCTCACACTGGCCCAGTTTAGTAACTGCAGGTCGCTTGCCAGAAAAACAGAACAGACGGGAAATCAAAGCTGCAGCTTTCAGGCAAAGAAACGCCATGGCCAACCAATGCTTGATGGAGAGAGCTCAATCGGAAACACTCAGCAGGAGGGAGAAGCAGCAGAGCAGAGAGATCAGCAGCAGATCCGCTAGACCGCAGCGTGTTACTACCGAATCCCATCCCATCCCTATCCAACCAGCAGCACAACCGCGTGTTCTCGCGTCGTCGTTTCAAGCAAGGACCGTCACGCACGCGTGTTAATCTTCAGGAGGAACACGTTACTGTTTTAGTAGACTGCGAGGGAGAGGGGTCTCTAATAACTCCGGCAGCACTGCCCATGTATCTTTTCTCATTTAGTTCTTTTTTTTATACTATCATCACCAGCATCAACGTCCATGCCCTAATCTGGCTCTTACTGTCAGAGTGTCACTTCACTCCTCGCGACCTCCTGCTCCTCGAGTCGTAAGACCCGGTTTGCACAGTTTTTTAAGAAGCGATGCGCTAGGTATAGCTCCCCTGTTAACGCTGCACGCTGCCGTGCTGGCCGCTCCGAGCAGACCCCTTTCAGACTCCAGATTTGGAATTGGACAAAAATCCGCTTTCTAGATTCGGCGAATCGCGTACCAACGACGAGAGTAGAACTAGGCTACTAAGGGACATTTTCTTACGCAAAGCTTACATCGTAATAGCGTTGGTAGGCTGTATGTGAAGCGTGCGATTGCCGCGCTCGCGAGGAGGCATTCTACTTACGACTCGCGCAATAGTTAAACTATTCCCCGCCAGCGAAACCCGCACGGTTGCGTTCAATCCGCCTGGATACTTGCGTCCTTGTTAGGGTGAATATACAGAATTGGGTGGTATCCTCGGGAGTCGAAATTGTGGAGCGGAATTTCGAGGAGCAAAAGGAAGCGCAATGTCGGAAACGGATGAGCTTTCAACGAAGCCAGGCGGGTGGGGCGAAGCATCCAAAGCAGTTCGCGTGGGCAGTGACGACTGGAGTAACCGGGTAACCAGCGGCTTCAAAGACATCACTATCAGCGACGGCACCGGCGGCAGCGGCAGGAGTGGCGGGCGAAGCGGTGTTAGAAGCGGCGCGGGAAGCGCCGTCAGTAGCCGACACAGCAGCAGCACGTTCAGCGGCAGAAGCGGCAGCATAGCGTGGACAGACGATTTTAGCGACTACGGACTATACGACCCTGCTAGTTACCCTGACACCCCTTCTTCCCTCGCCTCAGTCCCTTCGTTGCGCTTCGAGCCACCGCTTCGTGATGACGTTGCTGGCGGCGCCATCGCTAGGGGCGGTATCGGCGGTTCCTTTGGTTCTCAACGCGCCGGGTCTTTTCGCCGTGCCGGCCTCCCGCCGTCCGGCAGCTTCGATCGCCACGTCAGCAGCCGCTGCGGCAGCCTCGATCGCCACGTCAGCAGCCGCTGCGGCAGCGTCGGCGGGGGGGATGAGGAGATGCGCGATTCGGCGGCCGCTGTCGCGTGTGACATTAGCGAGAGGGACTGTCGTCGCGGTGCCGAGACTGCGACCAGATACGACTCGGGCGACGACGACGACGACGACGGCGACGACGAGGACGACAGAAACGAGAGCAGCGACACGGTCGCACGGGAGGTGATCCGACGGTTCAACAGCACCGGGCACGGAATCGACGGCAGCGGCGGCGGCGGCGGCGGCGGCGGTTTTGGTACAACAAGCAACAACAGCCGCAAAAAGAGAATGATAATAAGGCACCAGCGACACGGGTCCATGGCTTCTCATCCCAGGACGAAACCCGGAGGAGTCGAAACCGCACCTATGGGGATAATCAACGGTACGGGAAGCTATTATTACGGCATCGGGGCAGGGAGGGGGAATCGGCCGGTTGCTGCAGGCGGATCGGCTGGTAACGGGGATGACGCGCCGCATCGGCGCGCTCTGAGTGTGGATTTCCACCCGCCGCCTGTTTTCATGCACTCCCCGCGCACGCCACCTTTCGGCGCGGACGGCGGCGATTGCCCCTCCCCGCTCTTCTCCCCGCACCTCTCCCCGCGCATGTCGCCCGCGCATTCCCCTACGCGCCCGCCCCCCCATCCTTGGGCGGCCAGCCCGCGCGACGATTCCTCGACCGCCCAGGAAGCTTCCGCGTGTTATCGCGCAGAGCAAGGAGCGCGGGACGAACCTTCCATCTTGCAGGAGGAAGAGTTGCACGGCGCAGGCGCGGGCGCGGGCGCAGGGGGAGAAGTAGCCATTCCGCCCCAACAGCAGCAGCACGCTCTGCTGCAGCATCAGCCGCAACCCCAGCAGCAGCTGCCCCAATTTCAATCCCAGCCCCCGCAGCCGCAGGAGCAGCAGCAGCAGCAGCAGCAGCAGCAGCAGCAGCAGCAGCAGCAGCAGCAGCAGCAGCAGCAGCAGCAGCAGCAGCAGCAGCAGCAGCAGCAGCAGCAGCAGCAGAAGCAGCAGCAGCAGCCCCAGCTGCCCCCGTTACAATCCCAGCCCCAGCAGCCCCAGCCCCAGCAGCAGCTGCTGCAGCACCGGCGGCGGCCGCAGCTCCCACAGCAGCAGCACCTGAGGCTCGGTATCCCGTCCGGCAGCGCCGGGCCTATGGGCCAGCATCGGCGCCACCGGTCCTACGCAGACCACTCTGGTTCGGACTCATCTCGGAGGTTCGGCAGCAGCGGCAGCATCGGGACCAGCTGTCTCGGCACCAGCTGCAGCAGCGGCAGCACCGTCGGTGGTGCTACTGCTGGTGGTGGTGTTGGTGGTGGTGAGAGCAGCGGTAACGCAGTAACCACACGTCGCACCCTCCGAAGCCACAGCTTCGGCAGTAACCACCACAGCAGCGCCAGCTTCGGCAGCAGCCTCGGGCTAAGCCATAGCAACAGCTGCGGCGGAACTCTCAACCTCAACCTCCCCCCTAGAAGCCCCTTCAGGTCCCCAGGGCAGTTTGCTACGGCTTTGAGCGTCCCTGCAGGTTTGGAGTGCGGTGCAGGGGAGTTCAGTCCGGTGACGAGGTCTCCCAAGCCCCCGAGGTCCCCGTTTTCAAGTGACCCTGCTGGGGTTTCTGTGTCTTTGGCTGAAAGGGTTGCAGCGGCTAATGGGAGTGCTGTGGGTAGTGGAAGTGCCGCCCTTCCTCCTCCTGCTCCTTCTGCTCTTACTGCTCCCGCTCCTTCTTTTCTTCCTCCTTCTGCCCCTCCTGCTCCTCTTGTTCCTGCTCCTCCTGCTCCTCCTGCTCCTCTTGTTCCTGCTCCTCCTGCTCCTCCTGCGCCTCCTACGCCTCCGGCCGTCGTGTGTGAGAGTGCAGGTGCTGCCGCAGCTGGCCCCTGCACTCCCATTCACTCTTCTGCTCCTCCTGCCGCTCCCCTTGCTCCAATTCCTCTTCCTCCTGCGCCTCCTTCTCTTCCTGCTGCTCCTCCTGCTCTTCCTCCTCCTTTTCTTCCTGCTGCTCCTGCTGCTGCATTCAATCCTCATGAGCAGCAGCTCAAGAGGAAATCGGATTCTGCAGTGGGCCAGCAGCAGCCGTCGCCTTCAGAATCGAGCCAAATTGCGCCTCCCCTGCATCAAGCTGCGTTGAGGCTGCAGGAGGATCAGATCAAGGTGCTTCAGAGGCTGCAGCAGCAGCTGCAACAGCACCGGATGAACCTGCAGCAGCAGGGACAGCAGGGACAGCAGGGACAGCAGGGGTATCACCAACCACAGCAGCAGGGGCAGGGGCAACAGGGCCAACAGCAGGTGCAGCAACAGGGAGGGGCCGGGCAAGTGGATTTGCAGCAGCTGAAGGAGGTGCTGATTCGCAGATTGAGTGCGATCCAAGCAACCACCAGCGCCACCAACACCAACAGCGCCAGCACCAGCACGAGCGATTCTCGACCCCATGGTGCTTCTCTAAACGCCCCCAGCAATGACAGTGACAGCTTAGGTGGCGGCATGGGCGGCGGCATGGGCAGCGGCATGGGCGGCGGCTTAGGCGGTGGCGTGGGCGGTGGGTTTCACAGGCGATATGCGAGCGCAGGTGTTGGGATCACCAGCAGCGGCGGTGGCGGCAGCAGCGGCAGCGGCAGCAGCAGTGGCAGCGGTTTGCAGATGGCTCCTCCGGCAGTGCAAGCTTCTCATCCCCCCCACTCTGCAGGTGCTGCCGGCTCTTCACCTGCCTTCCCCTCCGCCCTTCACCACGCCTCAGCCTCTGCTACTGCTGCTGGTAGTCCTGTTGCCCCTACCCCTGTCCATCCTGCATCTACACCCCCATCCGTGCACCACCGATGCGCATCCCTAGACGCCCACTCACAGCAGTTCTTCAAGACTCTTAGCACGTACATCAGCCGAGGGCTTACAGGAGAGATGGGGGAGGGCGCAGGGGGAGAGGGTGTAGGGGGGAGAGAGGGTGGGGGTAGTGGATGGCAAGGTGGGGCGGTGACAGGGGCGGCAGGGGCGGCGGAGGTGGATTCGGGGAATGTGAGCTTCAAGGATTTTATTCTGCGCATGCCGTACGATAACGTGAAGAGGTTTTATTCTGTGAGCGCCGCCCGGATCGGGAGCGGGCGGTACGGCGTGATTCGGCCGTGCACGCACCGAGCGACGGGAGTGAAGATGGCGATCAAGACTATCAAGAAGGAGCACATGAAGGTGAGGAAGGGGGGAGGGGAAGTGGGGGGAGTGGGCGGGTGGGGGGGGAAGAGTTACAGGTTCTCCTGACAACCACCAAGCGTCGGGAGTGAAGATGGCGATCAAGACGATAAAGAAGGAGCACATGAAGGTGAGGAAGGGGGAAGTGGCGAAGAGGTGGTGGAGTTGGCAGGTGTGCTTACAGAGGTGGTTCTGGGGCTCTGCTGCAACACCCGCCAACTGGCAACACACCCTGTGAAAGAAGGGTGGTTTTGAGACGTGTCAAAACCACCCTTCTTTTCGGGGCTCTGCTGTAGTGCAACACACCCTCCCTCACAACACACCCTCCCTCACAACACACCCTCCCTCACAACACACCCTCCCTCACAACACACCCTCCCTCACAACACACCCTCCCTCACAACACACCATCCCTCACAACACACCCTCCCTCACAACACACCCTTCCTCACAACACACCCTCCCTCACAACGCACCTCTTCTTTCCTTCTCTTCTTTCCTTCTCTCCTTCTCTCCCCTCCTCCCTTCTTCTCCACCCTGCCAGTGCAAGGAGGATGTGGAGGACGTGCGAACGGAGGTGATCATTCTGGAGCTGCTGTGGCGCAACACAACACACGCTCACCACACCCTCCCCCACCCCTCTTCTTCTCCCCTCCCCCTTCTTCTCCCCTCCCCCCACCGCACCAGTGCAAGGAGGATGTGGAGGACGTGCGAACGGAGGTGATCATTCTGGGGCTACTGCGGGATCACCCGTGCATCATCAACCTGCATGATGCATTCGAAGATGACAAGGTGCGTGGCACATGTGAGGAGCACATGGGAGAGTATGTGAGCAGAAAGAGCACATGGGAGAGTATGTGAGCAGAAAGAGCACATGGGAGAGTATGTGAGCAGAAAGAGCACATGGGAGAGTATGTGAGCAGAAAGAGCAAATGGGAGAGTATGTGAGCAGAAAGAGCACATGGGAGAGTATGTGAGCAGAAAGAGCACATGGGAGAGTATGTGAGCAGAAAGAGCACGCGGAACGGTGTTCCCTGCTGCGAGACCAGACCACCCGCGCCTCATCAATCTGCATGACGCATTCGAGGACGACAAGGTGCATGGCACTTGGGAGAGCATTTGAATGTGTGATCTTGTGAATGTGTGAATGTGCGAATGTGTGAATGTGTGAATGTGCGATCGTGTGAATGTGTGATCGTGTGAATGTGTGAATGTGTGAATGTGTGATCGTGTGAATGTGTGATCGTGTGAATGTGTGAATGTGTGAATGTGTGATTGTGTGAGCTTATGAGCATGAGAGCATGTGGCAGGATGTTACCTGCTGCACCACCCATCCATGCATCATCAACCTGCATGATGGCTTGGAGGATGACAAGACGCGGAGGCATTGCCTCTCATTCTAGTGCGTCCTGTCCTGTGAACATGTGATTTGAGCATGCCCCTTGCTGCGAGCGAGACCACCACCCGTGCATCATCAACCTGCCTGCATGTGATGCCTTGGAGGATGACATGACAAGGTATGGGGCATACTGGCAACCTCCCAGAGAGGGCGGTTCCCAGAGAGGGCGGTTCCCAGAGAAGGTAATTCCCCTTTCAGCCCCTCATAAGCTCTTCTCTTTCCCTCCTCCCACCTCCCTTAACAGTACATCCACCTAATCATGGAGCTGTGTGAAGGAGGCGACCTGTTCGGCCGCATCAAGCAGCGCGGGCAGTCCCCCGAGAGGAATGCCGCCCTGCTGTGCCCACCAATAGCACCCCTCTCAACCTCTCAGAACCCCTTTCCTCTCCCCTTTACCACCCTCTCCCATGCCTCTCCCTCACAGTACGTGCATTTAATCATGGAGCTGTGTGAAGGAGGCGACCTGTTTGACCGCATCAAGCAGCGCGGGCAGTTCCCCGAGAGGGACGCCGCCCTGCTGTGCCGCGGGCTGGCAGAGGCGCTGCTGCAGTGCGGGCGGCGGGGCGTGCTGCACCGCGACGTGAAGCCGGAGAACATCCTGCTACGGTCCAAAGAATGCCACACGCGGATCAAGTTGATCGACTTCGGTGTAGCGGCTCTACACACGCCAGGTAAGGGAGAGGCACACAGAAAGGTGAGAGGGGAAGTGGTAGATGCAGGCAGCCAGGCAGCAGGGGGGTGGTGTGCTGCGCCAGGGTGGTGCTGTTCATTCTGCTCTGCTGCTCTAACCATCAACTCACCTTTCCTCCTGTGCTCTCTCTATTGCCCCTCCAGGTACCCTAAGGACAGACCGGGCTGGTACGGTGGAGTACACCGCACCAGAGGTGCTGGACCGAGCCTACGGCCCTGAAGCAGACATCTGGAGCGCCGGAGTGGTGCTGTACATTCTGCTCTGCGGTTTCCCGCCCTTTTGGGCGGCGACTGACGCTGACCTGGAGCGCAAGATCCGGACGGCGCATGTGGATTTCCGGCACCCGAGATGGGCGGCGATCTCGGACGGCGCCAAAGATTTGATTCTGATGATGCTGGAGAAGGATCCGAGGAAGAGGATAACTGCGCTGGAGATTTTTGGTGAGTGGTGGATAACAGCGCTGTTGGAATTTATCGTATGAGAGTTTTCCCCACGTGCGATGTGATCCTCTCCTCTTCCTCTGATCCTTCTCCAGCGCTGTTGATTTATCGAGCTGAATTTCCCGACGTGCTCTTTTCTTCACTCACAAGGTATCCTCAACATTTGTCCTCTCCTCCATCCTGTGTCATCTTCCACCTCCCTTGCTTCCCCTTGACAGCCCATCCCTGGATCAGGGCAGCAGAAACAGCTGAAAGTCACCACTGACATCGACCAGGTGTTTTTTGCTGCATACACCAGAGCGGGCGGCAGCACTGCGCGTGCTGTACACTCACCGAGACAAGCGAATTCTGCCCTACCGCCATCTTATGTATATGCCAACTTTGAAATCCCACCTGACAAGATGCCTCGTCTTGTCTCACTCCACGTTTTTGTGGTCCTTACTCAATGACCATTCCCTAATTTCTACTAAACTCTCTGACTGAGCACTGAAAACCGGATCGTTACACTAACGGGTACGTCAAGTGACCGTTGAACTCGTCCTTATGTTTTTCCGCCCAACACACTCCACTCCACTCGCTCGACGCCCGCGTTACCTACCAACCTACTTTGTTATGAGTTGTATGAAAGAAGAGTGCGCAGAATGCAATATCGCGGAAGTGATTACAACTACTGAGCAAACAACGAGGCCTAGGTATAATATAGCACAGCTAGCTAGGCCGAGGTCGCGGAGTCGTGCGAAGGTTGGGTGCAGGTTTGGGGTTGGGAAACCCGAGGGCGACGCGGGAGACGTTCGGAAGGCGAGGTCGTCGGACCGAGCCTGAATTCCGAAAGTTGGAATTGTACGCGTAAGAGATGCCTCAGTAAGGAATTAGCGAAATTCCTTACACTACCCCCCCCTTAAGAAAGGTGGTCGATATCAGGCACATGTCGGCGAGAAAGATACTGCCGAAGTACCGAGTGCCCTTGTAGTGAGTCAGCCGGGACCCACGTGTCATCGTCGCTTGTGCGATCCACCCAGCGTAGCAGGAAGTCGACGTGGCGTCCGGCGGGGGTCGCACGAATGCGATGGTTCAATATCTTCCAAGGTTGAAGCGTCGGGTCTGCCACAGGTCGGACACTTGGCGCCTGGTGGGGTCGGGCGACGTCGGACGACTGCGGTGCCACATAGTGGTGAAGTAAACTGACGTGGAAAGCGTTGTGGATTTTCCAGTCGTCCGGTAGGAGAAGTTTCGCAGTGACCGGTGTCAGCATCCGAATGATGCGAAAGGGTCCCACGTAGCGGGGACGCAGTTTTGCAGGCTGGGGCAGCTTGAGGTTTTTTGTGTCCAGGAGGACCATCTGCCCGTCACGGAAGGGTAAATTCCGTCGATGTCGGTTGGCGTAGCGGCTGGCGGCCGTATTAGCCTTCCGGATAAATTCCGCTGCTTTGTCTCGCGCTGCTTGTAGTTCCGAAACAAACTGCTGCGACCTTGGTACCGGGTTATCGGGAGTTGTTGACGAGGGTACTACCGGATCTATCCCGTAATTCAGGTAGAACGGCGACTGCTTGGTTGTTGCAGATGGGGCGTTATTGTACGCAAACTCGAGCATGGGAAGGGAATCCTCCCACTTGGTGATGTCGGGGCAGTTCGTGCGAATCAACTGCTCCATCGTCTGGTTTGTCCTCTCTGTCTGTCCGTCGGTCTGTGGATGGTACGACGACGAAAACTGCAGGCGGGTGCCGTACTGTGCCCACGTCTCCTGCCAGAACTTCGACGTGAATTTTGGGTCGCGGTCGCTGATTATCGCCGATGGCAACCCGTGTAGTCGTACGACGGTCGAGATGAAGAGCTTCGCTGTTTCTTCGGCTGTGATCGTCGTGCGGCATGGTGCGAAATGCGCCATTTTCGTTAAGCGATCGACGACGACAAGTACCGAGTCGTTGCCACTTGCGCCCGCCGGCAGTCCTGTGACGAAATCTATTGTCACCTGTTGCCACGGTCGTTCGGGTGGCTTGAGGGGTTGCAGCAATCCAGCTGGGCGTTGGCGTGATGACTTCATTGCTTGGCAGGTCGGGCAGGCGGACACGTAGCGCTGCACGTCGGACGCCATGTTGGGCCAGCAATAATTCCGTTGCAGCAGCTTCAACGTTTTGTCGACGCCGAAATGCCCGGAGAGGTTGGAGTCGTGTACTTCCTGCGTCAGCAATTCTCGTAAGGGTCGGTAGGAAGGTACCGAAACTCGGTTAGTACCGACTTTTAGGTAGTAGCTCCCATGCGCCGTGGTGACCCCGTGGTGTTGATTGGTCCGGAAAAACCGGTCAATCCTGTAGCCATGCTTGAATAATCCTGTCAATAAAGGGTTAGAATGGGCGATTAGTACTGCTGCGGTCTGCATTGATGGTCGGGTCAGGGCGTCGGCGATGTTGTTGGCGCCCTTTTTGTACGTGATGGTGTAGCTGAAATTGGACTCGAGATAATCGAGCCACCGGATTTGTCGCGGATTGAGTTGTGGTTGGCTGCGCATGTATTGTAATGACTTGTGGTCGGGTCGGACGGTGACGTCAGCTCCCGTGAGGTAACAGCGCCAGGTACGAAATGCATGCACGATGGCGAGCATTTCCTTGTCGTGGACCGGATAGTTGCGCTCGGGCGGCTGCATTTTTCTTGATTCGTACGCGATGGGTTGCAGCCCGTTGCCGAAGTCCTGTAGTAGCACAGCGCCCACGGCGAAATCGCTGGCGTCCGTCACGACTTTGAACAGTCGAGATGGATCTGCTAGCCGAAGCACCGGGGGTGAACTCAAAATTTATGCAGAAGATCGGTTAACGGCCTGGTCACCCCCGCCATATTCGGTACAAAACGGCGGACATAGTTAACGAAGCCGAGGAAACTCTGCAACTCCGTGATGTTCGTGGGCGGCTTCCACTCCGAAATCGCCGTCACTTTGCGAGGGTCAATTTTAATGCCCTCCCCTGAAATCACGTGCCCCAGGAACTCCAGCTCCGACTGTAAGAACTCACACTTAGAGCCCTTAGTAATCAGTCGGTTCTGCTGCAAGCGCCGGAACACTTCCTCTAAGTCCTGTAAATGCTGCTCCCGAGTCTTGCTGTACACCAGGATGTCGTCCAGATAAACGATAACTTTTTTGTCCAGCATGTCCCGAAACACCCCATTCATGGTGAGCTGGAAAGTCGAGGGCGCGTTCGTCAACCCGAACGGCATCACAGTGTACTCGTAACTGCCGTAGCGGGTGCGAAACGCAGTCTTCGGGCAGTCGTCGGCGAACACGCGAATTTGGTGGTAGCCACCTCGCAAATCGATTTTCGAGAAGAAGCGAGCCCCGCGAAGCTGATCCAGCAGGTCGTCCGCTCGTGGGATCGGGTAACGTGACTTTATCGTGACCCGGTTCAACGCTCGATAGTCGATGCACATGCGCAGGCCTCCGTCCTTTTTCGGTGTGAGCAGTATCGGGGCGGCGTATGGTGACGTGCTCGGCCGGATAAAACCCTTCGAAAGCAGATAATCCAGCTGTTTCCGCAACTCGTCGAGCTCCGGTTGGCTGAGCCGCCACTGTGACCGAACAGTTGGTTTTGCGCCTGGCTCCAGCTCGATCCTGTGGTCCTCCGGACGCTGAGGTGGCAGCTCGTCAGGCAGGTCATCCGCGAAGATTTCGGGATACCTCCGAATTATGCTCGCCACGTCGTTGGGTACAGCAGCGCAGAGCGTGTCGATGTCGGCGATTTTTTCGGAAGCCACCACCTCGTACAGCTGTACGGCGTAGCCTTGCGCTCCCCGCTTTATCGCCCTCTTCATCGTTATTGCGTTGACACGTGTTGTCATCGGCTCCGGCTCCGCCCATTTCGGAAGTGTCACGCGCCCCTTGTTGCACAGCACCGTGATCGCCCCCGTCGTCCAGTTGATCGTCGGATTGAAACGCTGTAGCCAATCTCGTCCCAGCAGCACATCGCAACCGTCCAGTGTTGTCGCCAGCATTCGCATTGAAAACCCGAAATCGTCGCCACACTTCATCCGAATTTGTCGGACCTCGTCTTTTATCGCCAGCGGTGTCCCGTCCACCAGTCGCGCGTCAATCTCGGGCAGACACCTGTCCAGTTTGACCCCTATTTTTTTTGCCGTTGCCAGGTTGACGAGACGGTGGCTCGCCCCACCGTCAACGAATAATTTTATTTTATAGCCGTTAACCCTCCCCACGACCAGCACAGGGTGATCCACGTGTTCATCCACCTTATTCGTCCGGTTGCGGTCGATAGCCCGTATCGGTACCACCACTCGGTGTGGATGTTGATTGCCGGGCGACGGGGTCTCGTCAGTAGGTGGCCCGACTGCTACTGACTCGTCTCTTTTCCCGACCCCTCTCCGTCGTTCCTGTTTCCTTGTTTCGGCTTCGGGCAGTCCTTCCTCCAGTGGCCCGGTTGGTTGCAGTTGAAGCACGTGTTAGGTCCACGTCTCGGTGCATCCACCCCGTTGATTGTGGGCTGGCGCGGCGGTCCACGAAATTGAGTGCCCTCCCGGGAACTCATTCTCGCCCATTGCATCAGCGCATCCGTTGATTCAGCCACCTGGACGGCATCGAGAAAACCGCGTGGCCTCGCCCGTCGCACCTCGTACTGTACTTCGTACTTGAGGCCTGCGACATATCGGTCGAGTCGTTCCGCGTCGCTCATATCGTCCACTTGGTCAGCCAAATTGCAGAATGTTGCCGTGTAATCTTGGACCGACGCCACCTGCTTCCAGGTGCGCAGCTTCATGCGAGCAGAATCCGAGGCGGATACATGCTCGAATCTGGTAGCGCGGCGCCCCACTCCGTACATGTGCGTATCGTGGCCACTCCGAAGATTGAAGTTGCCTGTTGCGTGACAGTTGTCCAGGTCCCGTCGTTCGCACGTGACATCCCTGCCGGAGTCCCCCCTGTCTGAAGAGTCCGCTTCCACCACTCCAACGCCGGCCCTCGTAACAGTGACACTGCAAAATTAATGCGGGTAGCATCGTCAGCAATTTGCGCAGCATTGAAAAACACCTCCACTCCGAACAACCATGCCGACACAGTGACGGTTTTGTCGCTGGGGTTGAACGGGGGTGGATTCGTCGGTTTTATTTTAACAGTTGTTGAGACTGTTGCTGCTGCATGCATCGGGGGCGCCACTGAAGCCATCACCGGGGTTGTCGCTGTTGCCTGACGTGGTGTAGTCTGCGACTGTTGCCTCGGCGCCGCTCGTGTCTGTTGCTGCGGCTGTGACTGTTGCCCCTGCGTCCCTTGTGCTTGTTGCATCCGTGCCGTCCACTCATCTTCAGCGTCCAGCGAGTCTTGTAGCTCGCTAAGGACCTCGTCGTTAGGCGCGAAGCTGCTACTTGCTTCATCCACGGCGGCCGACTCCTGACGCGCTTCACCTCGCGTCTGGCGTAGCTCGGCGTTTTCCACCCTCAGGCGCTCCAACTCGCCAGACATAGTCTGCATGTTGGATTGCATCGCCCGAAAGTCCTGCAAAAACACGTCAAACTCTGCTTGTGTCATGTTTCGGAGACTCATCCTAGCGGGCAGCGGGTTAACAGCGATTTTTATGGTTTTGATGAAGGCGCAAACGCTATTAGTCGGAGCGAGATAATCGTATCTATCTCTCAGCCGACCGCTTTGCAGCCCACCAAACCTATCGCACCCCTGCACTAAAACTACCCCGAAAAGTGGAGGGTAACCTAGGAAAGTAGCTCTGATACCAAGTGTTATAAGTTGTATGAAAGAAGAGTGCGCAGAATGCAATATCGCGGAAGTGATTACAACTACTGAGCAAACAACGAGGCCTAGGTATAATATAGCACAGCTAGCTAGGCCGAGGTCGCGGAGTCGTGCAAAGGTTGGGTGCAGGTTTGGGGTTGGGAAACCCGAGGGCGACGCGGGAGACGTTCGGAAGGCGAGGTCGTCGGACCGAGCCTGAATTCCGAAAGTTGGAATTGTACGCGTAAGAGATGCCTCAGTAAGGAATTAGCGAAATTCCTTACATACTTCCAGGTTCCCAACATCGAGGAGATTTCGTTTCAGAATTATCTCGTTTTTATTTCATCGAGGAGTTTGGGATTATTTTCCACGCAACGTTATATAGAAGGATAACCCCGCAACGACAAAAGAAAAATCCACTGACACCAAACGCCATACCCTCCTAGAACCAGATCCTCATTAGAAGTCTCAGGCGAGCTATTTGAACCGCAGTTTTCAGCGGCTCGTTGCGGCACCTATAGCGATGATGCGAGTGTCGAGTCGCAAAATGATGGTCCTGCGGTTACTAGGTTCGTAGCAAAGTCACATAGTCGTCTCGATCACCAGCATCATTGGCATTCGCATCATTGGCATTTGCATCACTGGGATCGCAGGTTCAGAGAGTCACTGGTGTTTCCTGACACCATCAATCGTTAGGACCACTTCCGTGTCGCTTTGTTTAGAAGTCGATCCCCTTTGTTTCGTCTATTTTCGAAGGCATTATTGGAGTCATGACGATGCGCTTCGCTATCTGGCAGGTAAGCGTCAATCCGTGCTATCTCCCCTGCTAGCACCCAAGGAATATCCTGCATGCCTTTTTTCTCCTTCTCGAAATTCCCTTATCTTCATCACTCCATCCAATTGCCGGCACTCCCTGATGGATGTATAAGAACACTCATCTTTCCATTCTGTAGCAGCCAGCCTCATTCGCCGTATACTCACAAACAAATTAATGCCCTTTGCGACAGCTCGTCCGTCAGTTATCTGTCGCCGTACCGGTCGTCCTGACGGTTCACGACAACGTCGTCAGCATGTGCGGCGTGGACGGCCACTCCATGTCGCCCACCTTCAATCCGCTACGCGACAAAACCGGCCTGCTATTCCGTGCCGCCCTGAGCGATCGCGTGCTTTTAGACAGGCTGTCAGCGCGTTACATGCAGTACCAGCGCGGGGACGTGGTGGTGCTCAGGTGATTATATCGAGGGGAAATGGGGGAGTTAGGGGAGGAGGTGGGACGAAAGAGGAGAGAGACGAGGGGGAGGATTGGGGGAAGGGAGAGGATCGAGAGGAGGGAAGGGAAATGTGGGGAGGGGAGAGAGATCAGGAGGAGGAGAGAGGCTGTGGTCCAGTTATTGCGAAGTATTGATGCCGTGTTGCTAAGGTGATGATAAAGGGAAAAGGGTGTTAAGGGGAGAGAGGAGGGTGAGCGAAGGGTGATGAACATAGACAGCGCAGGCCCTTTCGCCCTTTCCAGGTTTGAGCGTTCCAGGTCCTCTTTGCCCTCTTCCCCTCCACTCCCTCCCTTTGCAGCAGAGCATGTCCCTACTTCCCGACCAGTTTCTCACACGATTCATATTACTTTCTTCTGCGCACCTCTCTACCCCACTCTCCGTCTGCTTTCGTCCTTTTTATCCATTTGATTATTTTTACTTTCATAAGACGATTTCTCTTCGTGTGTTCCTCTCCTCCTCATCTCCCCTTTCCCCTGACCCTCCCTCGTGTAACAGTGCAGGTCGCCCACTGATCCCGACATGTGCCTAATAAAGCGTCTCATCGCACTACAGGACGACTGGGTAACAGTGCCGGGCGGCAGCGATGACGCCAGCACCAGCGGCAGTGGCGCCAGCAGGGGTGATGACGTCATCAGGCGGATTCCTAAGGGCCACTGCTGGGTGGAAGGGGACAATGCTGATGTCAGCGAGGATTCTAAGCACTTTGGCCCGGTACGAGCGTGGGTGTGGGTGGTGGGTGGGATTGTGGCTCTGGGTATGGCCGTGGCTGTGGGTGTGATTGGGTGTACTAGCAAGCGGGGTGGCAAGGCTTGCCTGCTTGTGGTGTATTCAGTCAGGAGCATCTCACTCTTTGTCCATTCCGAATCGCCTCTCCCCCGCTCGGCATCCCCCCCTGCAACTCGCGCTGCTGGAGGGCAGGGTGTTCTCCATCGTGTGGCCTCCACACAGAATTCTGAACTCTCTGAATTCTGAATTCTCCCTCTCCTCCTGCACCCCGCACCTTACCATCTGTCAGGTGCCACTGGCGCTGTTGGAGGGTAAGGTGCGCTGCATCGTGTGGCCTCCCCACAGAATAGGCGGAGTGGAGAGTCGATTGCCTGAGGGGAGAGTGCTGCCATTGAGGCAACAACATTAGGAAGGTTCCTGGAATGTGGGTGCAAGGTGCGGGAAACGGGTTGCACTGCATCGTGTGGCCCCCCCACAGAATAGGCAGAATCGAGAGTCGAATCCCGGAGGGGAGAGTGCTGCCGCTGAGGCAACAAGACTAGGAAGGTTTCTGGAAAACGGGTGTGCTCTAATGCGTGACCTTCACACGCAATTGATGGGGTGGAGGGTCGTCTATTGGAGCAGAGAGTGCTGCCAAAGAGCACTAGGAACAAAGGAGCTGAACGACCCATTTCCGTGTTAAGCTGCTTCAGGAACAAGACTCTCTTTCAAGCACTAGGAACCAAGCCTTACAATATCAGGAATTTTTCCCTGAAATTCCCGATTTTCAGGGATTTTTTTGTACCTACCCTGATTTTCCAGTGTTCAGCTTTTTGGGGGACTGATTTTTCAGTCTTTAGGGGCCAGATGACTCTGAACTTTCAGGTTTTTTTTTTTAAGGGACACTGATTACACTACGTTGTAATGGAACTGACACTGAATGCGATTCCTACCGTATTCTCCCGGACATAGCACCCTAGGGTATAGCTAAAAATACAGGGAAAAAATGGGGGGGGTCTCCTCATAGGAAAAAAATACGTAATACCCGGGCAGGGCCTCAGATTCGTTTTGGCCTAGGCTGAATCGTCAGCCTTAGGAGTGAGCTGAAGGCTGATCAATCAGGGTAGCCTTGAAAAAAAAAACTGAAATTTCAGTGTTTAGTTTACCGTATTACCCCGGATATAGGCGCATATGCGCTTATAATAAATTCATTTTTTTGAGGGGGGGCGCTTGTAATTGAGTAACGGCCATAAGCGCCGGCGCTTATATAATGACAAATACGAAATTATATATTTAGATCACCAAATTGTTCATTTTCTTCTTGCCATTTCAACCGAGTCGAAATGCTTTAGCGTCACAAATCAAAATCTCGCGCAAGCGATATTCTGGGTGCACACACAGGCAAAGACACGTCATGCCAGCAGATCCTGACTAGACGTGCAGCCAGTCAGGTCTTCGCGAGTCAAACCAAGCGAAATCGAAATCTGACTCGCTGCAAAAATGAATTTCGTTACCGTTTTCAGCAAGAATTTAAACTAGAATTGCACGTGCGCTTATAATAAGTAAACATTTTCTAGGGGGGGCGCTTATAATCAAGGAACGGCCATAAGCGCCATGCTCCAGATAGAGGCGCCGGCGCCTTTAATCGGACGGCGCCTATATCCGGGGCCATACGGTAGTTAAATGGCTGATCATTCAGCCTTGCTTAAAAAGAAAGGCTGAACATAACTTCAAGCTTTCCTATAGCGCAACACAGTCATTCAATTTCAAAGTGTGGCATTGAGAAAAGGGCATGCGACGTGCTTCCAACAGTGCACACGACGTGCCTACAACTTCATACACGAAGATACCTTCTGTCGGCGACAACAGTGCGCGCGGCATGGTGAATCCGAGCGAATCTCCTGTGATTGGGCGAATTTCTGGTAAAACATGTTGTGTCAGAGCGAATTTCTTGTGATTGGGCGAATTTGTTGTGCTCTGACGGGGCGATTATCTTCTCTGTTGGGGCAAATTTGCTGTCTCAGGGCGAATTTGCTGAGTCAGGGCGAATCTGCAGTGAAGAGTCAAGTAGAAACACTTGCATCCAGAAACCAGAAACTAGATTGTACATTCGTGCCATTTGATTGGTCAGGCAAGTTTTGGTAAAATATCCGATAGGTCAGAGGGTTTCAGCCAGGGCTCTCGCTAGGATTCAGGCCTGTCTGACAGGATGGGTAAAAAAAAAAAATTCGTCTTACGCTCAGATTGGCGCTTTTTTTTCGTCTGACCTCTAGGACGAAACAATATCACAAGTCTGATTAGACAGATGAACAATTCTACGTGGTCTACACTAACTACATCAATTCTACAACATACAATGTGAAAACTAAGTATCATTTCACCTTTCTACGTATCAGTCAGACTCGCTACCACTATCATCAGCATCACTACAGCTGTCTACGCTATCAGACGGCACTGGAATAGGATAGTTAGCATTCCCCTTGCGACTGAGCCAGGGGAACTCTGCATCCAGCCTGGCTGCTTCTGCTACTGCTGCCGCTTCGCGTGCTGCTGCCTCTGCCGCAGCCACAGCAGCTGCTGCTGCTGCTGCGTGGGCCTCTGCTGCTGCTGCGGATCTTCTTCTATTGCGCTTGCTCTCCCTCTCCACTCCCGCCAGCAACACATCCTTTGCAGGCCTCCTCTTCTTGGATTTGCGCCACCGAGCCACCAACTCGGGCCACTCCATGTTGTAGCTCAGAAGAGACACGGTCATGAGCTCACCAAGCTTGGCGTCGCACAGGTTCCCCCTCAGCCAGCTCTTGATCACGTTTTGCCGCGAGAACCCGCGCTCGCACTCCACAGTGCTCAGCGGGAGCACTGCTACAGCGATCCACAGGCGGACAATGTTGGGGTAGCTCGTTGTCCAATCTGGTGAGGAGAGCATGTGCTTCAGGCCCTCCGCGAAGCCGACATCCTCCTGGTGGGTGCTCATGATTGTCGCGAAGGTGTTGAGCTCCCTCTGTGCTTTGGCCCAGTCCACACCTGTACGAATGGGCGGGTGAATAGAGGAAGACAAAGATGCGGCCGCATGAATACAAATGTAACGCGACGCGGCTTCAAAATGATTAAGCCCGAGATCTCACGACAATACGCCTAACACACCTGGCAGAGTGTCCGGATCCTCGGGATGCTTCTTGTACATGTCGCGCAGCGACTGCAACCACTGCGCCAACCGTCGCTCGCGCTTAGCCTGTGACTTGGGGTATTGGGACTTCTTGAAGAGCTTCGCGCCATTGAGCGACGCGAGATCATGCAGTCGGTAGTCGAGCTGCTTAATCAGCTCAACAACGAAGTCCCGCCCGAGCTTCAAACAGGAGTTGAGGTCGCCTTTGCTCTGCTGCCCCACGATAGCCTCTTCGTGCAGCAGGTAGCGGTGAGTTGTTGGCACTCCGGTGGAATCTAGGCCATCAACCTTGACCTCCCGACACTTCCCCGAGGCATGTTTCGCCAAGAATGGACCCAGCGCAGCGCCGCTTTGCCCGAACGTCTCGTCGTTGCTGTCGAGGTAACGAGTCCGCAGCAGGAGTGTTGTGTTGTGTACCGTCTGCAGCACATGGGTGGCGTCAATCTGCAAAAGCATGAAGCAGAAATGGTTAGATTATGACTATGGTTTACGAAGGCGGTTGCAAGCGTAAACATTAACGCGTACCTGTCGTTGCTGGAACTTCAAGTTGAGCAGGTTCAGCTCCTTCAACACATCGGCAAGCAAGTAGAGTAAGAAATGGAATTTGAAACTAGTCACTGTCGCGTACATCTTTTTGTCGAATTCCTGCAAGACGATCACAACCGCAGGAAACACCGCGACGAGCCGCTGGATCGCATTGCCTCGGGAAAGCCACCTCACGTCCTTGATGCCCTGCATCTCCAAATGTGTCTCGCAAATGACCTCTTGCAGCTCCTTGAAACGCGTATGGACCACAAGGCGCCCGAGAATGTCGACCACAGACCGGACCGCCTTGTCCACAATCTGGAGGTCAGGGAACGCGGTTGCTGCATCTTTTGCTGCCAGCGCCTCCCTGCATGAATCAACCGAAACATTTTAGTACACACAAGATAGGCAAATCAACATACAACTTGGTATAACTCGCCTGTGAGCGACACAGTGGCACGAAACGAGATGAGGAATCTTCGTGCGCAGCCGCGCGACCAACCCGTTGTGCTGGCCAGTCATCACAGAAGCGCCGTCTGTGCTCATACCGCTAATGCGCTGCAGATCGATGCCCGCCGTCTCAAAATGCGTTAGCAGGCCAGTTAGCAGCGAGGCGGCGTCACACTGCTCCACTGAGAGCAGGGTGTAGAACTCCGTGACTGGAAGGTTGTCGCGCACGAAGGTCATGTATACTATCATATGCTTCCCGCGCCTACGGTCCGTGCTCTCATCCAGCTGGATCCCGAGAAAGGGGCTGGCTCGGATGTACTGCAGCTGACGGGACCGCAGGTATGACACCATCGTCGCCACTAGCTGTGCAAAACCGTACCTGTAACACAAAAACAATAGGGGCGTGAGCATGGTGGAGCAGACACACAGACATAAGCGGGATACAGAAATTTTACTCACTCGCTGTAGTACGTGCCGTTTTCCTTCACGGGCATGTCCGGCGTGCCCTGCTCAGCCATGAATTGAACAAGAGCAACGAAAAGTACAATAGGGGCGTCAGATTTGCAGATGAAGAGAGCGATTGCCATTAATCGAGCAATTCGCCTGGCGTCGTCGTCACCCTTGTCGAAGGTTGTCATGGACTTCTGGCCTTTCTTAAGGCCATCACGTTGTTCCTTCTGCAGCACCGCGGCCTCGTGCTTCACGCTGAAATGATGCTTGCGCATCGTCTGCTTCTGAATGTCGAGGCCGCCTTCACCGTAGCGGCCGTACTTGTAGTGCGGGTCCCCGAACACCATACAGACGCTGCAGCGCATGCACGTTCGCCCGTCCTTCGTCTCACTGATGAAGAGCCACGGGAAATAGCGAAGCCACTGCTCCTTACACTTGAGCTGCAGCTCTTCCACAGAGAGCGGCCGACGTCCCTTGGTTTTGCCCTTGTCCTCTTCTTCCGAATCGTCATCGGCGGATTGACGAGTCGTGGGCGGGACCGTCTCCGATGGCGCGGGCAAGGTAGGACCTGCGGGACGGGCAAAGTTAAGCATCCTCTGCTTGTATTTAGCTTTCAGTGAAGCCCTGTCAGGCAGCACAGGGTTAGCCCGAAGATCGGTGGTTGTTGCAACAGAAACAACAGGGCGGATGGATTCACGGCCGGATGTAGGCGAGCTTGTCGACGTGGGCGTGGTAGCCTTGGGCATGCCATCGTCCGCCTTTTCTTCGGCCACAGTGTCTGGCGATGCGTTGGTTGGGGGTATAACTTGGGTTGAGCACGAGGCAACGTGGGGTGCAACGAC